TGGGTAAGCTTTCACTGAATTCACAATAAAATGGAAAGAAGTAATAAATTACACTGTCTAATCCCTCCTGTTTTATATATTATCATTCTTGTCACCCATCCTAATGTGTGTGTTCACTGTAATTTTACTGTCCTCCCTCACCCATCCTTGGTAATAGTCCAAGAGAGGATGGAGAGGTGTTGTGTGCGCTTGTGCAGAGCAAGTACAGGTGACGGCTGTTGGTGGACAGGGTCTGTCTGTGGTCAGGTGGAGAAGGAACTGGTCTTGAAGGCTTGAAGGTGGGTGTGGGTGACGTTGGTGTATGTGAGGCTGTGTAACGTGGATACTGCTGCCGTCTTTCCTGTCATCGGTGAGATCCTGGTGCAGACGCTGCCATGGCCTTGGGTTTCTGGGACCAGAAAGCTGATGCCACCCACAAAATTAAAAATCTCTGCTTTCCAGTTCACTGTTCAATCTGCTGTAATCATGCAGTTTTTCCAATTCATCACTTGGTCTTCAAACTAAGAAAGTCCAGAAGGCTTTCGTGTAGAAAATGCAACCTGGTGTGTCTTAGAAGTGGAGATGGTGAAACTTGTTGCATATGGTGGACATGCAGTCGGGAGAGGCCAGTCTTGGGGACAAAACATCCTGGTTGTGAAAGGTGTGGGTCAGTGAAAGAAATCCTCAGCAGAATGGACTGACACAGTGACTGTGAATGCACTCGAGCCTGTCAGGTGGAGATCAGGAAGATGGTATGGGATTGGACAAGGTTCAGATCTCTTTAATAGCGGCTCCTAGCAATACTCCAATTGAGTATTGATGTCAGTCAGAGGACTAAGGTATGTCTAATTCAGCCCATAGTCTTTCCAGTCACTTGCTGTGCATCAGAGAGCTGGACAGTGAATAAGAATGAACAAAAAAGAATTGACGCCTTTGAGCTGTGGTGTTGAAGAGCCCTGAACATCCCATGGATGGCCACGAAAATGAACGGATACGTCTCTGGGTGCAGCCGGAGTGCTCTTCGGAGGCAAGAATGATGAGGCTTTGCCATACCGCCTCCACAGGGGTTGCACCATTTTACACTCTCACCAATAGTGAATAAGCGTTCCAGTTTCTCCACATCCTTGCCAGCATTTGTTGCTTGCTGTTCTGTTAAATATTGCTATTCTGACTGGGGTGAGATATCTCATAGTTGTTTTGCATCTCTCCTAGAGCTAGGGATTTTGAACATTTCTTCATGTGCTTGTTAGCCATCTGAATGTCTTCTTAGGTGAAGTGCCTGTTCATATCCTGTGCTCATTTTTCTATTGGATTATTTACCTTTATCTCGTTGTGGTGCTCAAGTATTTTATAAATTTGGATATAAGTCCCTTATCTGATCTATCATTACCAAATACTTTTTTCCCAGTGGGTGGCTTCCCTTTTTACCCTGTTGGAGAAGTTTTTGGATATGCATAGGGATTTGATTCTTAGAAGTTCGCATTCATCTATTTTATCTTCTGTTTGTAGGTAGTTTTATGTTTTAATTTTAAGAATTTTCACCCATGTGCTTAAGTTTTTATTCTCCTAGGTCTTGTCTTTTGTCTCAGTCAGTCAGTTTCCGAATTTATGGATGCGTTTCATTTCTTAGTGTGTCTTTAGCTTGAATTTATAAGTTGAAACTGCTGCCTATGATTTCTGTCTAACTTAGTGAAAAGTTTCTGATGGTATTTAATGCAATATACCTTTGAATGAATAAAAATTCATAAGAAAACAATTCTAGAATATGTCAGATAGCTCTTAAAATAATGTCATAGTAATGTTTTGATCCACATCATGAAATATCAGCCATGAATTGTGCTGTTTTGTACCAGAACCAACTCATAACTTAACCTCCAGTGGGTTTTCAGAGGCAGCTGGTGGATTCAAACCGTATGTCTTTGGGATGACAGCACAATTCTTTACCCCTAGGCGACCAGAGCTCCCTCATACCTCTGTACCTCAAAATTTTAATAGAGTCTATTTATGGAAGCAGATTTGTGCCTCTAGGTTGTTAATAAATTAGGCATTCATAATTTTCATGAATTAGGCATTCATAATTTAGGACTGCTTGTATTAATAACTCCAATCTATTTTTACTCTATTTGCTTTATCTTGGAAGAAAATTTCCAAAAGGGAAAGGAGAAATGCTACTTCCCCACGTAGTTAAAGCTGCTGGTGTTCATTGTTCTTCATGCAGATCTGAGTTTCTCTTTTCCTTTCACATCACATCCCTTTAGACTTTTTGTAGTGCCAGTCTCCCCCACCCTGGCCCCTCTTCACTTTTCCATGAACCCCTTATTCTGGCCTGGTGTCATACATAAGGCGCATGTTTCTCTTTTTTCCTTTCACGAAACATCCCTTTAGACTTTTTGTAGTGCTGGTGATGAATTTTCAGCAGTTTGCTTATGTAATGTTTTTGTTGGTGACTTCTTTTGGTTTGTACATACAATTTGAGTTTCATCCAGCTTCTTTGGTGATTTTTTAATTTTTAGCAAGTTCTTAAAAGTTGAGCTGTTTGACACTTGCGCCTCACACTCCATTTTTAAAAAATGTCTTGATGTCCAGTAACAGATATTCTGGAATGCTGGTTACTGGCTCACATTTCACAAAGGCACTGCTCTTTTTTTGTGTGGTTTGGCCGTCCTATGCCAAATAACAGTAAATCATGCTAGAAACAAAAAGCATTCTTTACCTTTGACTTTGTTTTCTTTTTCTTGGATTTGCTTATTTACCACAGTTCATACAGTTTTCAGTTTTTAACTTTTGTTTATGTGGTCTCAACCTAAATGTTTGCTATCCATTTATGAAAAATTTCATATGAAAATGCTTTATAGTGCTTTAAAGGATAAGATTTAGCATATCATCTTAATTAATGCATTAAGCAGTTAATCATTTGAATGCCCACTATATTTTGATGTTGAAAATACATGTTTGAACATAACTAAAGGTTTGCCCTTGTGAAACTGGTTTTTTGGTTTGTTTCTGAGTAAAGACAAATAATATATAATGTTATACAGTAATGAGTATTTTAGGAACTGGTAAAGCAGTGTAAGGGATTAGAAATGAAAGGAGTCTTCTATTGATTGCTGCTGGCTGCTTTCCAGCCCATATGTGAGTGGAGACTGCAGAGTGACGTGAGAGAATGGACCAGGTGAATTCCTGAGGAATGTGCACATACCTGGTGTTTTCTTGGGAGAGCCAGGAGCCAGGATGGGAGAGTTAGTGTGAGAGGATGCTGGGAGTATTGGATGGAAGGTGGATGGCACAGAGGACTTTTTATTCATTGTGGAAATAATGACCTCAGTCTACTGGGTTTATTCAGTCTATTATAAATCTATAAAGTTGTAGCCAATCTTTTTCTTTTTGTGTCTGATTTTTGTTTTATATTTACTCTGTAGTGTTTACTTTTTTTTTGTCAGGGGAAAAAATTTGAATAATATCAGAAAAGAATGCAGTCATTCTAAACACTAGTTTCTTCCACAATTAAGTATTTTCAAAATTCTGATCCCTTTGTTTGTATTGCTGGGGGAAATGCTAGAAGTTCTCAGAATGCGTCTGGAGGATTTTTTAAAATGTTGCCGCACAATTTTAAATTGAGACTGTGCTTAGAAACACTTTTTTTCCCCTTTGATGTATTACCATCATTTGCGGCAACGTGTTAATTAAAAAAATAGTTTCTATTCAAGTAACTAAGAATCGATCTAATTAGATTGGTATTCCATAAAGAGAGCTTACTTACCACTTCTTAGACTTAAATTTCTTATCAAAGAGTTGCAAGAAGCCATAACACCTTTGTCACCTGCACAGTAGTGTTGGACAGATTCTGAAGGACATGTGTTTAGTACTGTCTTCACATCTTTCATGAGTTTATTCAGTTTAACTTCCTGTGAACTTACTTGTCATAGTTATGCATTAACTCTTAGACAGGATGTTCACTTCACTTTTGTCCTGTTTTTCAGGAGGCCTCATGGGACCCGTGAGGATGATTTCTTCTGGACATGAATTAACAACAGATTACGATGAAAAAGCTCTTCATGAACTTGGTTTTAAGGATATGCAGGTATCTCTAACCTGGGATTGGGTGGCAATCTACTGTTGACCTACACTTGATATTTGAAGATAAAGTTTAAAAATGGTTGTTATTTTAATTAATATTAAGATAAAACAGTTTCTTTTTTAATCCAAAGAAGGAAACACCTCTCGCACTGTGTGCTTGTTTCCTTACCCCCTTTTCATTTTTTTCTTTTCTTTCCGTCTTGTTTTTCCAGATGGTGTTTGTGTCACTGGGTGCTCCCAGAAGAGAACGGAAAGGAGAGGGTGTCCAGCTGCCGGCGTCCTGCCTCCCACCCCCACAGAAGGACAACATTCCAATGCTTTTGCTGCTGCAGGAACCTCACCTCACTACCCTCTTTGACTTACTAGAGATGCTCGCATCCTTTAAACCACCATCAGGGAAAATGGCAGTAGGAGATAGTGAGGTGACTATTAAGACCCGATTTCGTTTTCAGCATCTCTTTGGGTCTCTGCTTTGAAGTTAACTTTCTCAGTCATCGCTTAAGAATTGGAAAAAATCCCTAGGAACCCGTTTATTCACCGGTTTAGGTATTTAAGTGCCTGAAGTGATCCAGATGTACTTTTTTTTTTTTTTGCGCGTCCCTGGGTGGGCCCAAGACATGTTATACTGGGGCAATGAAAATAGTCCTGGAGTTTGAAATGCTTCTTCCTGGTTCCATCGTGATTGTGACAGAGTAAAACAGGAGTGGTGCCAGATTTGTTGTACTTAGTGTTAACGGGAACAGCAAGAATTAAGGTCTGTGCCTTGTTTGAAACTTAAGCTCCCTCTTAGGAAGCAGTTGTAACATACACAGAGTAGCCAGTGCTCTTGACAAGGTGGGGAAGCTGCAGTGCTCCGAGGTGGTGGTGACCTTGACATTTTGAATGTTGCTCTCCATCTCTGCATAGTAATCTGGCTACCTTCACTGTTGTTTGATGTCAAGTCAAGTGTGACTTAGAAAGATCTGAACCTTGTTCAGTCTGTGCAATCCTTAATTGTCTCTGGCATATTTAAACCTATTGCCCCAGTCACTGGCAGTTCATCTTATTGAGGTTCATTCTCTTTCTCTTACCCTCCACCTTTCCAAGATGATGTCCTTCTCCAAGGAATAGCCCTTCTTAGCAACATGCCCAGAGTACATGAGACAGCTTCACCATCCCTGCTTCTAAGAATCACTCTGGCTGCATTCTGAGAAATGGCCATTTGGTCTTTTCGCTGCTCATGGGATATTCATTCTCTCTGCCATACAGAACTCAAAAGGCATCAATTCTTGTGCCTGTTCTCTCATTGTCCAGCTCTCAGATGCTTAGCAGACAATTGAAAAAAATGCTGGCTTGACTCCAGTGTACCTTGATCTTGACTCCATCATTAATGTTAAGTTCTTCAAAGGGGCTCTCTTGAGGCTGCCATTTCCGTGCTTTGGCCTATGAATTTCCCTCTTGCAGTGAATTACTACATACATCTGTTTCCCAAGTTCAAACCTTCCAATTCATGACATTGGATATGCGTGAATAAGTTTGAAACCCTGAGATAGTTACAGTTCAAAGGTGTATCAGATAAAAATAATTTTACCTGACAAGAGCAATAATTTCAAGTCAACTAGCAGATAGTTTCAAATAGTTGCCATGACTAAACATGCTATGCCATCATTCACTTGTAGAGGTGGGTAGTGTTATATAACAGGGAACACAAGTGGATACCTTTAACACATTCAAAAGTTCATCATGATGCGCTCTGTTGAGTTGGAGCCGACCCTCTGAATTTTTAGTCATTAAATAACACAGCAGGAGATTGCCCGCCCTTCTTGCATGGAGCAAATGGTGAATCTGAACTGTGTCTCTTTGAGAGTGCAGTGCAGGTTCTTGCTACTAGAGCTCCCTGGAAGTTAATGAAATGCTAGATTGAGGGGATGGCTTGTTCTGTGTTATTTAGACCGTGCTTGGAGATCTCATGTGTATGGACCTGCTTTGTGAGAGAGACGTCCTCACATAGAGACTTGAATCCAAAGGACTGTCTACCCCTGGAAATTATTACTTGGTACTGAGGGTCCTGTTTGCCATAGTGAGATAAAAGGGGTAGGTGCCACATCCTTGGGAGACTCCCCTAATTCCTTCATACCTGCTTCTCTGTTGAGGCTGGTGGTCATTACACAGCATACACATTTTAATATATGTATATGAATAGGAAGTGGAGACACCATACAATTGAATACATAACAGATGCCTTTGGGAGGGTTTCTCTGTAGAGACTCTATATAAGCTGCACTAGAAGGATGAATAGTTTTCAATGAGTTAAGTGGGAAGGATGTGATTAGGGTCTGGAACTTTGCTTGTTAGAGGAAGGAGCTAGGCAGGTCTGTGAATTGACGGCTAGGAAATTGATTAAGGGGAGAACAGAGAGTGGAATGAGACTGATGAGGCAAGGCTTCTGGAAAATGTTTCCATCTTACTGGAAATACAGGCAAGTAGGTTTTAAGAAGTACAGGATAAACGTGTTCCGATGTTTGTTTGTATAGGTAACAAGTTTGGTGGGAGTAGAGAAATTAAACAGTCCGAGCTTCTTGTCAGGATCTTCTTGGAACGCATGTCCTGCTGGTTGTCCTGCTGGGTTGTAGGGAGACTGCAGTGGGCAGGGAGGGGTGGCCATTCTCCGGAGTTACTGCAGGTGGATCTGAGAGACAGTTTTGGGATCGCAGTGTGACTCCCTCTGGCTTGTGCCATCAGAGCCCCTGAGAAGCAGCATGAAGGGACCCAATAATGCCAGTTCAGGAAGGAGTTCATGATGCGCTGACGTCAGATGGTGGTCGTGAAAATAGATCCTGTGACTAGTCGGTTGATGCAGTTGCGAAGATGTGATAGTAACAGCAGCATAAGAATTGGGGTGCCTTTGGGGAGGCAAAGAGGGTGACCATAATGAGTATGAAGAGCATTCCAAAGCTGATGACGGTCATTTCTAAATGAAGCTATAGCGCCCCTACAGCCCTTAAATCAGTTCTAACATCAGCCTCCTCTCCGGTGCCATTCTTTGCTTTCCATTGCGTTTGGTTATTTTTTTGTGGATGTGTAGAAATTAAACACACTTACAGTTCAGTGGTTTATGCAGAAGTAAGAGAGTCAGGAGCAGCAGGGTGTGGAGTTTTTTAAGAGATTCCAGCTCCTTGAGGAGGTTCCTTGCCTCCTCTCTGGATAGGACTCCTCTCTTCTTACATCCTCCTTCTTTTGTTCCTCACCTCTGTGGAGGTGGCAGCATGCGCACTGCGTACCCTGTTCACAGGGTATTTGTATTACAGCAGTTGGTACGTAGAGATTTTGAAAAACTACATTATGTTAGCTAGTATTAGGTTGCAGTTGTGTAATTTGCTAACTTGTTATTAAAGACAATGTAGTGAAGAGTAAGTCTGATGACATCTTTCTCTGATCTTCAGTATTGGACCCTATTGTAAAGTGGGAACTACTATATTAGAACAGTAATTTTCAAACCATGACTTTCCACCAGAGCCAGCTGACCTTGTTATGCCATGGACACTTCATTTGCATAGCAGGATAGAGTTCTTTTATATATGTGAATATACGGACCAGACTAGGGCAAGATGTGTAGAAATAAACTGGTCTTGGAGCAGGCTGCAGCCCGGGGCCATATGAAAGTCAGAGGGCAGTTGTTTCATTTTCTAGGAAATTCCGTTCATCTTGGACAAAAATTAAGTCTGTAGTAAAAAGGACTTATGATTTTGGAAAAACATGTGCAAAGACTTTTACCCTAAGAACCAAAGCGAAAGGGTAAAATCATCTCACCAGACAGCACAATTGGATGGTTAAGAGTGGGAGTCTTAAGAGTTGAGAAGACATGGAGATGATATCAAAGTCTTTTCCTATCATTTTAATTAAAGAAGGGATCCCTGTGGAACATCAGAGGATTATTTGATAAGCAGTTGGATATATGGATTTGGACCTCAAAGAAGAAACATGATCTGGAGAAATAAGTGTAGATCAGGAATCATTAGATATTTATTTGTAGGAGAGTATTTAAAGGGAACATTTTCAATTCGCTGATGTTTCCTTAATCCCTTTAGGTCTTTTTAACCCTCAGTTCATAACTGATTCCTGTGCTTTAGACAGAAAATCTGACTGTGTCATGTTCAGTGGAAAAGAAAATGGCAGCACCTTACCTTGGACCATGGTGGCTTTTTATCTGACAGGATTGATAGTGTTTCCAAGAAGTACTTGATCATAGATAAAATGGAGCTTTTAATGAACTTTCTGATCTTCATAGTCTAGGTGGATTTTGTAAATTAATATTTTATCATTCATATACATTGTGTTTCATGTCTGCTCAGTATGTATGATAGTTTTAATTTTCTTAAAATAGTACATTCTTAAATTAAAAAGATTAAAAAGATCTCTCCTTTTGTGACAGCAAATTAGAGACTATAATCGGTGCTACGAGCCTATCTTTAATTTCATGCCGCAAACACTTGGTATGAACAACTTTTGAAAAGAAAGGATTGAGATAAATTTGCCATTTCCTAGGAAGAAAGTGTGCAATGGGATTAAGGAATGAGGATTACTGGGCAGGGTCTGCAAAGGGGTCACTTAATCCTCTTCTGGGACTGAAGATGAGCTCTCTAGATTTAGTGAGAAGCATGGGAGTGTGACTTCTCCAGAGCAGGCTTGTTATTTATGAGCTTCTTTCACATGGAACATAATGCCATTGTCATGCCTGCTGGCTGGGTTTTTTCCTTCTACACATCTTTCCTTGCCATTTAAAGCCATTACCATTGATTTAATACTTTTAGATTTATTATTTCTAAAACCTTATTCATTTGTGCAGAAAGAGAATGAATTCTGTTTTACTGGAGAATTGTTGATAATGTTTTCCTGATGAAATCAAAAGTGTTACTTAGACATTGTTTCCTATTCTTCATCAGGTGAAAGGCCAGGTCTGCCTTGAAACTCCCATCTCTAAAGGAAAGAGTAAACCATTATACTGAAAGAACTAAATTACTTTATTATAAACTTAGAAAAGCTTGCTTTGACCATGCTGTATCACAAAACATAACAGCAGTAATAGAACAATAGGCACCTTCATCTGAAAAATGCCAGATGTATAAAATTACCTTTTACTAATGTGCCGCAGAAAAGAATGGGAAATTGCCTATTTCTTTTAACACTCTCAAGTATTACCCTGCTAGTCTTGGTACCTCATTGGTTTACCTTAAACATTAATAATGGAAGGCAGGTGGTGACTCTTTAATAAAATTGCTTTTTGTTTTAATCTCTGCTTTTCTTAAAATATAAAATAGGTTTGGGTTAGGAAACCCGAGAACCAAAAGCAAGTCAAGAACTTAGTTGGTTGTCTTTGTTCTTCAAACAAAAAAACCCCCGCTGTGACCCAGGGTGACCCCTGTACTTTCAAAGCTGCAAATCTTTACAGAAGTTCTCTGTCCATCTTTCTTTTTTGGAGCAACTAGTAGATTAGAACAGCTGACCTTTCAGTTACCAACCCAGCGTGTTACATACAGTGCCAGCAGGTGTTAAAATAGCTGCCAAGAGAGATGGGGAGGTAAATTATGTGGTAAAATTTCATTAAAACAAAGGTACAGGTATAATTTTGTTTTCCCTTCTGTTTGAAGTTTTCCTAATAAGATTAGCCTCAGAGAAACGCTAAATTGGAAAACCACCATTTTGATCTTTTCTTGAATAAGTTCTATTTATCAATATAAAAATTTTTTTACTAATAAAAAGCAAGCCTGAGAAATACCAGTTTGATACTTATTTTATGCAGAAAAGTAGTTTAGATACTTCCCCCCCTAAAAACATTTGCTAAATATTTTTCTTTCTGTAGAGTTTACGATGTGAAGAACTCCATCTTCATGCAGAAAATCTCTCCAGGCGCGTCTGGGAGCTGCTGATGCTTCTGCCTACGTGTCCTAACATGCTGATGGCGTTCCAGAATATCTCCGATGACCAGGTGAGCCTGCAGCCTGCCTGCGTTGACAGACATCATCCAGGACCCTGTGATTCTTCTCATTCAGAGATTTGAGATTCGTGGTCATCACCTAGCTATATTAACTTGGAGAACATGGGCCTTTCCTCTGTTTTCTTTCACGGAGGGAGGTCCATCCTTTTGAGGATGAAACTTTCTAATCTGTCTTTACTGGTTTACCTTTAAAAAAGAAAGTAATTTTTTGTTCTGATATTTAAATATGTTTTCTATAGTGCAGCGACTTTAAGGTCTACTTTGGTGAATTTTGGAACCTAGAAATAGCACTTCACTGTGTTTAAAGTAAATAAGGGAATTATTAAACCAAGGGCTGTCATTTCTGCTCATAGTAATGACCATGTAGGATACAGCATAGTTATATAAACTATTGTCATTTCTCAAAGTTCATAGTTTCCAGAGACAAATTTAGTAAGGAGATGCCACTTCTGCTTCCATAATTTTTCTGTAGAAACAGTATATGTCAGTAATGTATGACAGATTTTTAAGGAAGTCTTTAAAATTAAGCTTTAAAATAAGAGGTTATTTTGAACACATTGCTGTTGAAATATTTGACAATAGCAAACATTTGTTGTTATGCTGATGCTTATTTGTTATTTAGGACACTAAATCATGTTTGGAGGCCCAGCAGCTTAACTTACAGGAGAAATGTGGAGGTTTACAGAAATTGTTGACATGGTTTACTTCTCTAGTAATAAGTTGCTGTTAAAGATTGATAATCAGTGTGGAGAACATGATTTCATAAGAGTAGAAAAGTGTAGATAGCATTTTTAAAAGTACAAAAGTGGCATACTTACAGGTTCAGGGTATTTATATGTGACTTAAATATTTTTTTTATAATTTAGTGTTAAATGTAGACATTTAGCTAGTTGATAATACATCCTTTAAAATATACCTTCAATACTCTGTAATTCTCTGCTCTCTCTGCAATTTGGAACATGATAAATTTTTTTTCATCAGTTGTGAAGATTAATTTTCTCATAGTGCTTTTTTTATTGATTTAATTTTTTAAATTTGGTGAGTAATTATTGTTTTAAGAATATCATACTGAATCTGTCTTTGATCTTCACATGTCTTGAGTTTCTCTAGTACGTATTTGAATTTGTAGGCACTGTTAATTTCTTCTAAGTTCTTTGGGGAGTCTCTTAAGTGAATTGCCTTGATTAATTTTTTTTCTTCCTCTTTGTAATTTTAGAATCCTGATGGACTGAACTGGAAAGAACTTCTCAAAATTAAAAGTGCCCACAAGCTTTTGTATGCCTTGGAAATAATCGAAGCACTGGGAAAGCCTAACAGAAGAATAAGAAGAGAGTCGACGGTAATTGCATTGCTGTGGTTGTCATGAGATCCTTGTATTCTCTTCAGAGCAAAATTTAGTCGTCTGTTAGTCCTTAGCTCTTCACTAGTGTTTTTCTTAGGCCCTTCTGTCGTCGTCATCATCATCATCGTTATTACTTTTCCCACAGGGAAGTTACAGTGATCTTTATCCAGATTCAGATGATTCAAGTGAAGATCAAGTGGAAAATAGTAAAAATTCCTGGAGTTGCAAGGTTTGATTCCATTGCATGTTTTATAGTGTATTGATAAAAATAATTTATCAGTAATTTTTCTAAACTTAGCATCACCCAAAAGAATGTATTGTTAAAATAAAGCACAGTCATCTTAAAATAAAACATAGTATGCATAGTTAAGTACATGTATGAAGTTAAGTCCAGTTAAGGAATAAAAAAATTTGAATTTAATGACTTGAGTCTTCTATTTTTAGCACTAATATTTTTTTTCCTTCAACTGAAACACCATGTTATTGATACCCTAGTTTGTGGGAACAGATAGTTAATGGAATATAATGTTGATAGGTTTTTAAAGAATATTAAAACCTTTTTCTGACAGATTTTGTTGTGTTTAAAGAAGTTATTTTAGTGGCTTACATAAAAGCAATTTTATAAAAGGTGTGTAACACACACACACACACACACACACACACACACACACACAGAGATACACAAAACACATATACATGGATATATACACACATGGGGAGCTCTGATGGCCTAGTAGCAAGAACCTGCACTGCAGTTCTGAAGGGACGTGATTTGAGGCCACCAGCGGCTCCGTGAAAGAAGATTGAACAGTCTCCTACTGTGCAATTAACTAATCTGAAAACCCGCCAGAGGGTCACCTGTGGATTGGTTCAACAGTCTACAACAACATACATGTTCCATTATGGAATTCAAAAGAAGACACTGTCATTGCATTTTGTGCAACTGTTTTTCTCTTCTGTTGCTTCTGTATTTTACAGTTTGTTGCTGCTGGAGGACTTCAACAGTTACTAGAAATTTTTAATTCTGGAATTCTGGAGCCTAAAGAGCAAGAATCTTGGACTGTGGTGAGTGAAAGTCTAGTGTGTTACAGTGAAGTAGTGACCTCCTCTAAAGCACTTTCAGGATCCACGCAGCTGCTGCCCACTTCCTTATAGTCAGTGGAGGATAAAGAACGCCTGATGTGGTTGTTCAGCATTTCGACCAGAACGGTGGGCGTTCAAGAGGAGAGTCGGTGTCTGTGATGATTGACGGTTCAGGGAAGCTGGTGGCAGTTCCCTGTCCGGTGGGATCACTGCGAGTCAGGATCAGCTGAACAGCAGTGGGCTTTAGCCAAGTCTGTATCCTTGACAAAATGGGAGCTTTTGAAAACTGGTACTTTACCACTGTTTAAAAGTAAAGTGGTTTATCAGGAAATTTTTTTGTGGAAGATTTAGAACTTCGAAATGTGTTAAACTTTATGGAGTCCACTTTTGAAAGTAATAGTGACATCATTTTCCAGTCCTCAAAGCTCATTAGCATTGCCAGGCATTCCATTGAAACTTTTTTTTTTTCCAATTCCCATATAACATAGTACGAGTTGATGTACTTCTCACCTTTTGAGACATTTTTCCCCCTCCAATCAAAACTGCCATCAAGTTGGTTCCTCTCAGGCTGACTGCCCATCTCACTGATCAGCTGATGGATTCCAGCTGTCAGCCTTTCAGAGAGCTTCGTGCTTTGCACACAGTGCCAGTGGAGGGTATTTCACTTACAGATACCCAGATATAGTTACAGATGTTTCAAATGCTTCTGCTTCACTCAATTATTGTGGCTCTGTTTCTCATATTTAAAATTGTGGTGTTTTCTTACTAATCCAATCGTTAATGTTCATGAGTCTGTGAGAATGGTGAGGCAGCTTAAGTTCTTTGTTGAAATGGGAGAGATCATTCTATTGAGCAGTTAGGTGGTGTCTGAGTGACTTGAAGAAATTCTCTTTGCCTGGGGCTGGCGGGTGGTGGAGTTGCACCGCTCACCAAACAGTGGCACTCTTCTAGGGGTTCAGATCAAGTGGTGGCTCTAAGGAAAATGGTGGGCATTCGCCTCCCAGTTTATATCCTCTGGGAACTCACTGGAGGGCCATCTGTGAGAAAGGAACTCATTTATAAACGCTCTTCGTTGGTTGTAAATGAAATAACATGGTGATATTTTCTTTAATTCTTCAGAAAAAGGAATAAGCTTTTGAAATAATACTCATTTTATTGCCACATGTGACTTTGTATACCCGCGAGAGCCTGAGATGCAGATTGCATACAAGGAATCTCTCCTGATTTATTATGAGTTCTAAATAATTGTTTTTTAATAATGTTTATTGTTCAGTTTCTAAGAGGACTTAGTAAGGTATATTTTTTATATTAGTTTGTATATAGTCCACATGCAGTAACTCATTTTAATTGTATAATTGTTTTCAACGTACTCAAAAGCTGAGCAGTCTGAACTGCTGTCTCATTCTAGAGTTTACATCATCCTCCAGAAAGAAACCCTTCTAAAAAACCAAAAATGCTTCCCTTCTCCTAGACAAATAAGCACCTTATTTCCTTCTATTTTTTTTTTTATCCACATGCCTCTTTATTTTTGTTTGGAAGTTTACAAATCATACTAGTTTTTCATATAGTCCTTCATAAACATTGTCTTTTATAACATTCTTTGTTGTTGATTGATGTAGTCAGTTAATTAACAATGTCAGACCCCTTTTTGTATCTTGTCTTTCCCTCCACTAGGCTTATCTAGTAATTGTTACTCTATTCTCCCTCCCTTCCAATACTGTGATTTCCTTAGGAAAATCCTCTTCATAAAAACGTTCTCGAGCTTTTTATTCTTAACACATTGAGAAAGAGAGAGACTAGCTTACATTATTTAGCCTAATTGTTGGTGATGCTGTGAACACAGACTCTAAGATGGCCAACAAGTAAATGCTCAAGAGTATTCATAAGGAAACAAAAATACCCTTAGCAGTAGACATCTATGCTACCCTTCACCAGTACAATTCAGAAGCTTCAGTCCTTCTTAGTCTTCTTTGTTGTCCAACTTTCCCATGGCTGTGAAGCAGTTGAAAATACCATGGCTTGGGCCAAGTGCACCTTAGTTTATATACTTTTATATAGTTTACTAGTGCTGCTTAGCACTAAATAGTACATTTGCCCAATGCAGGAGGAATGCCTGATAGATAGCATTGGAACATTTTGAGTAATTTACTGTATGTGGTTTGGTGTTGAGAAATACCATGCAATAAGTAATGCAGTCATTTTAAAGATGCTGTTCATGTATTGAAAAATGTATGTACTTGTGTGATCATTCGTCACCTCAGCAATACTGCTATATCCAGATTGTTATGTTGCAGTGTTTCGGCCGTTCTTGTTCAGTTACACTTAACATGTTTAGAATTAATTTCTTGGGTGACTTGACACCTTCAGGCTGCTTAGTCATTTCATCTGTGAGCATGATTTCTTTCTGTTCAGTGATGGTATTTTTCTTCATTTTTTGTATTTCTCAGAATTTTTTCTATATATGAAAATCATAAGTAATTAAAAGATTTGTGTAGGGGTTTTTCTTTTCTTACAGTCTGTATGCCTTTCACTCACCCCCGCCCCAGTCTCCTTCTCCCCTTCCGACTCGCTGTATTAGTTAGGTCACCCGCCATGTCTGCTCTTGTTTCTTCTGTTTGATTTGTGTTGACAGAGCTGGGAGTTTGATTTGTCAGTAGGTTCATTTATTCTCTTATAGTACAGGGAGATTGTTGGGTTTGCTCTGTGCACCTTCTTATAGTTGTGGTCAGATACGTGGTATCTGTAGGCTGAGGGAAAACAGTATTATGTCCTGCCTGTGGGGTCATGAGAGCAGGAGGGCAAAGGGTGGGAAGAGAAGAAGGTGTGAGATTAATTTTGTACCTGAACTCCAGTTATTTGATTTAAAAGAAAAGGGAATTTAATGTTTTTTGGGTCTTTTTTTTAGTAAATCACTTGGAAGTTCTACTCTTTGTATCAAATACTTAATGATTTTCCTAAAGAAATATTTAATTTTAAATGTGCACCTATATAGTGCAGAGTTTTCAGTTGTCCTATTCCATACCAACCTGTTCGATTGCCACTTTTGTGGAGAAATAAGTTAGAGTACATCTCTCAATTATTTTAAAACATGAGTAAATATATCCTTGTTTGGATTTTAATACATTCTGTACTTTGTATGCACATTATTGTATTGCCTTTATTATAGGAGATGAGTGTTCATTTCCATTTTATTAAATATACCTACACAGTATAACTTTTCTCCCTGTCTACTTCTGTGTTTTTTTTGTTAAAATAACTTGATCGTTATTATGTGAGTACCAAAATTTGAGCACAGGATTTAAGAACAAGCTCTCCTGTGTATTTTGGTTTTTTATTTTGAGTGTGATAATGGCTAATCTTATGAGGTAACTGACAAAATTATTTATTCACAGTGGCAGCTCGACTGTCTGGCTTGCTTGCTGAAGTTAATATGCCAGTTTGCAGTCGATCCGTCTGACTTGGACTTGGCTTATCACGATGTCTTTGCCTGGTCTGGCATCGCCGAAAGCCACAGGAAAAGAACTTGGCCTGGCAAGTCAAGGAAAGCTGCTGGAGATCACGCCAAGGGTCTTCACATCCCACGACTAACAGAGGTGACAGACAAATGTGACTCGGTTGTATTGAACAATTCAATGAAAATGAAAAATATACTGACACCTAAGAAATGGCTATGCTTGAGTTCCACAATGGGTGACCTAGCAGCTGAACTGATACCATCACTTTACAGTAGTATAAATTATGTTGGAGCTCTGGTGCCCTAGTGACAAGGACTTGTGGTGCAATCCCAAAGGCACGCAGTTTGAGGCCAGCAGCTCTTCTGTGGAAGACGGATGGACAGTTTTCTCCCATGTGATTAACTGCCTCTGAAAACCCATCAGAGGGTCAGCTATGAGTCGGTTCAGACTCTGTTGGAAACAACAACAATTATATACAGACATGCTTTTCATTTCATCATCAAGAATGAGGAAATTGATGATATGCTATTTAAGTGTTGAGACCATTATTTGGTCTTGTTTTGTTGTTGTTATATGCCATTGTCGTTTGCGACTCACAGCGACCCTATGTACAACAGCCCTAAACCCTGCTCTATCCTGTGCCAATCTCATAGCCTCTGACACACCCATCCCGATTACCCCAGTCACTGAATCAATTCACCTCTACTAGGTAAAATCCCGAATGTGGCAGAATACTTTCTGTTAAAGGCAAACTACAGATAGAGAAGGGTACTGTGGGAACAGCCAAGTCCAGCCTGTACTAACTCCACAAGGGGAATCTACCCCCACAGCAGCATCCACAACACAAAACTAATTCTGAGGGCAGACCCTTCTCACGCTCCTGTACCCACCTAATGGACCCAAAATCCATTGCAGTGACCACACAAACTTGACAGAACCATGCTTGCAGTTACAACAGCAGATCCACTGCACTGTAGAAATGGCAGCGGGTGTTATACAGGGAGTTTAAGATAAGAACTTGGTGTTTACATATGTGTCGTAGAGATTAATAAGCAAAAACAGTGCTGGAGATACAGCATACATACCACCACCACCCAGCCCTTAAATGAATTGGAGCTTAGACATCAAGCGTTTATCAGGGTCAGGTGTTTGAAAGCTAGTACACTAAATGTTGAACCTCAGGATTTTCAATCAAAAATGCACACTTAACACTCAAAATACATTCCTTTCATTTTTTCCCCCCCTTGTTGTGTGTCATCGAGGCAGATCTGACTGGCACAGGAGGAGATTGCCTCTCCTTCTCCAGTGGAGCATCTGGTAGATTTGAACCATACTCTTTGGGGCAGTGAATACATTTCTTTTAATGATAATAGTAATACCAAGATAACGGTTGTCAGAATGATAGGGTCTGCCCCTGCTTGGCATTTCAAAAAGACAAAAGAATTTCATTCCCTACCCACCCTTGAAAATGACTGATGTTAATAATACGTTTTTTAATTTGTTGTTGTGCTGAGAATCTTATAGATACATTTTTTTTTTTTTTTTTTTTTAGCTATAGCAAAACCAGTTTGGGGTGTTTTTATTTCCTACTCGTAAATCCAGCTTAGGTGTATCGAACATCTCCATTTTCTAACATTTAATATTTTAAATTTTTTAAAAAACATTCTTTGAAATGAAAAAATATTCTTTGTGTTGTCCTAGATGAAAAAAAATAATTTTACATCTTATAAAAAAAATTAATTTTGGGGCATTACTTTATAATTAATACATTTTTTCCATGTTTTTGTTTTAAAGGTATTTCTTGTTCTTGTCCAAGGAACCAGTTTAATTCAGCGACTTATGTCTGTTGCTTATACATATGATAATCTGGCTCCTAGGTATGACTTTTTAATGTATTTAATGAATGTATCTGCAGTAAGAATATTTATTTAAATTTCTAAGTATCCCAGAAGTTGATTTTATGTTGGGCTCTTGTTTGTAATTGCACTAAAGTTATCTGTAAAGTATCTTTTAAAACACTTTTTATCTTTCTGGCTCCCAATCTCCCCCAGCCCGTGTGTGTGTGTGAGGCGGGGGTGGGGGGGGGGTGGGACAGATAAACATAATGAAAGGAAACCCATATTTCAAACAAACAGGGTTACATTCAGAGTTACCAGTTCAACATACTGTGAAGAGTGGAGATGAGGAAATTCAATCCACATCAGATCAAACCTTTTCTATTCAGAAAGACTTTTTACATCAAAATATGTCAGACTTTTAAAAAGGAAACCTGAGCTTTGGAATCTAAACTGTAACAACTTAAAACATAAATTTTTAGTAACTAATACATGAATCTTTTTTGAGGGTTTATTTATTTCATCCAATCCTATATACAGTCACATTTTGTTTTTTAACCTGAGCATTAGTTTGGTGTTTGGAGTAAAAATTTTCTTTAAATAGATGGAGTAAATGATAGAACAAAAATGAAAGTGTAGCTTTATTGGGGAGGAAGTTCTGTATATGTCGAAGGACACATGATAGTAAATGTCATTATTTTCAGTTCATTGCTGAATTTCATTTACTTCTGGTGGTGTGTTCTCACTTCACAGAGTTCTGAAAGCTCAGTCTGATCACAGGTCTAGACATGAAGGTAAGGATTTTACAGAGTCAATTTTTAATAGAAACCAGTTTCGATATGTAAGTGTGTTAATGTAACCTTTACTGAGCATTGTTGTTGGTTTACCAGCTAAGCTTTTGTAGTCATGTTCTTTCCTCCTTTTTTCTCTAGTCTCACATTATTCGATGTGGCTCTTAGTGAGTTGGGCTCACTGCTGTTCGTTAGTGAAATCCAGCCTTGCTGACAGTGATCATTTACAAGACTGGCTAAAGAAACTCACCCTGCTTATTCCTGAGGTAAGACGGCAATAGTGAAAATTAGTACTTTATGCTTATTTCTAAGTACTTCATGCTGTTAGCACTAACAATGAGAAAGAAAGCACATAAATGTAATTACATAACTATAATGCATTGTTTGAAATGTGCTTATTTGTCCTTGAATACCTACAATATTTTGAGTTTATGAGTAACATATGTTCTAGAGGGAGCTCTGGTGGCTTAGTGGTAAGGAGTTTCACTGCCAACACAGGTGCATGGTTCAAATCCCCCAACTGCTCCAAAGGAGGAAGATGGGCAGTCACCTCTCCTGTTATTTTACTACCTCTCAAAACTCACTGGAGCGTTAGTTAGCTCTGGGTGAGTTTTGACTCAATGCTACACAGCAACATAGAGTCTATGTAGTATTTAGATTTGCTTTTTAAAAAAACACAACTATTTAAAATGTTCTTTTTCAGTATTTTGTTAATTTTTCTTCAGGCAGTGAATAGAGAGCATTTATTTTGGTAATTTATGTTTATGAGAAATTTTTTCTGTTTATTTTTAGTGTATCCTTCTAGGCAGGAGAGACTAAATATAGGTTAAGTAAACTAAGTGCAGTAGTTCCCACTAAACATATCTCAGTGTTATTCACATCATAATTCTGAGTAATAACAGTTGAAACATACATAATTAGAACCAGTTGTACTTTTAGTGTTTCATCCACAAGTCACATCTTGTTTTGATGGCGTATCTAATACTAAGATTTCTGAGTTGAATGCCCTGTGTTAGTTCTTGTTCTGTCCCAGATAATCCTACAGACATTGGAGCACATACCTTAGAACCTGTGACTCGGCTACTTTCCAGGGTCGTTAAAGTAATGAAAATAATGTTAACAGACTGTGAAAACTTGCTTCCAGTCTCTTTTGTATCTGGGACTTTGTTACTGCTTTTTCTATTTTTCTGATCATTCTTATGTAATTGCAACATATTAGAAATTCTTAATACATACTTTTAAATACTTTATTTGCTCATACATGATTATAATAAGCGTGTATCTAGTACCAAAAGATGGCATTTAAAATAGTTTTAAAAATATAAACTAACATAGTTACTGCTGATTTAATATTAACTTTGGTTAAAGTTAATACTGGTTATGTTGGTTAACTTGTTAAACTAAATCCAACTGCCTCTGGAACTGCTTTTTTCCTTTTAGACTGCTGTTCGTCATGAGTCTTGCAATGGTCTCTATAAGTTATCTCTCTCAGGACTGGATGGAGGGGACTCCATTAATCGCTCTTTTCTGTTACTGGCTGCCTCCACATTGTTGAAGTTTCTCCCTGACGCCCAGGCCCTCAAGCCCATCAGGGTAAGCACTCACCCCTTCTCTGTGCTCAGGACTCTGGTGTCTGTTTCTGACATTTCCTTCATGCCGTTGTTAATCATTGTCCAGTGTCCTGGAATGACTTAGGGACGAATTACTATATTATATGTAAATTTTGTTAAAATAGTAGACAGACACTTCTTCAGTTGACAGGATTGTGACGTATTATGTCCATATTAAAATTGGGATCTGGGCACTTGAAGGTTTATGGTGTCTCTCACAGTATTCTGTCTGGAAAACAGTATTTTTACTCTCAATAGGTCTTCTCTTAATAGAGTGAATGAAAGAAACATACTCTTCTTTTTTTAAAAAAAAATTTTTAATAAAAGTTTAGAGAGACCTTGGATTTCCATTCATATATTGTTGCATACTTTGTTATACAACTCCCCTTCCCCCCCCAGTTCACTCCACTATTCAGCTTTCATTCTGCACTTTTGTCATGACAATAATACCTAATCATATATTCCTCCTAAACAGTTCTCCCCTATCTATTTCAATGCAATATACATTATTTATCCCCTCTTAGTTTCTCCCCAACCTCAGTGTCTGTCCCGTTTTACAACAGTGGCACTATGCAGTATTTGTCCTTTTGTGACTGAGATACTTCATTCAGCATAATGTCCTCGAAGGTCACCCATTTTGAATAATATTGCATGAGTTCCTTGTTTTTCAATGCGGCATAGTATTCCATTGTATGAATATACCACAGCTTCACTATCCATTCGTTTGTTGATGGGAACATAACTCTCTTCTTATTCAGTCATAGGGTTTTTTGAATTTTTTTTTTTCCAAATCCTTATAGTCTAAATTTTATTCTTTACCCTAATATAATATATATACATACATACATACATACATACACACATATATAATAAATACCACCATTCTAAAAAAACTTAATATACATTAAGTCTAGAGACGAGCATATGATGAATCTAGTATTTTAATCCCTCCAGGGCTTGGCTAATGATGTGCACACTTAACCTGTGTAATAGCACTCAAGTGCAAAATAGAACAGGTTCTCTTTACTTTTGAGATGGAGCTATATGCATGTCTGCAGTTCAGTAGACTGCGTGTCGTAGATTTACATACAATAGTTCATAAGTTTTAATTGTTTCCATATTTTTGTTGCCTTCGTAGTTCATCTTATACTGTTAACATTATTGTTTTTCTAATAATTCTCATTTTCGGTTATCTTTGTTGTATAGAAACTAGAAAAATTACTACAATTTCTGTAAAATTGCACATTTTGTTTGTAGAGAATTTTCATTTCTTAAATCTGTAATTTTAATGTATTATAATTTTACGTTACTCTATTCCAATGTTTCATCAAGTTTCATTTTTTTAAATAGATAGATGACTATGAGGAAGAACCAATGTTAAAACCTGGATGTAAAGAGTATTTTTGGTTGTTATGCAAATTAGTTGACAACATACATATCAAAGATGCTGGTCAGGTATGTTCAGATGATTGTACACTAATTTGTTTATATATTTAAGTAATGTATATGTATAGATACATTTGTGTGTCTTATATATTTTTTCCTTAATTATTCAGGGCTTTTTTTATTAGCCTATGTCTGATTAATACTATCACTTTTTCTACTCTTATTTGTGTTTCTTTCCTGCTTTATGTAATTACTTTCTTCTGCTTATGATCTTGGTTAAAGTGTCATGTGGTACCAGTATGTATCATACCTCTTCTGAGTGAAACTTTGTGATGCAGAATTTTCTTTGCAAAGTAGCATTTATTCTTTAAATGTACAAGTGAAAAGTACCTGAACATGTGAAATGAAATCACAATTCAAATAGTTATTTTATGCTAAAGAAGCAAAAGTTTTTGCCAGTCTATGAATAAATAGTATTTTCATCTACACAGTGTTTAAAATGACTTTTTTAAAAAATATTGTGCTCATTGTTCAGGTTTTGTGAACTGAGTGACCCACTTTCACAGTTGACCATCATCTTGTACCATTATAGTATTTTCTCACATGGGTCCAGTACATGCAGCAGTATAATAGATGTCAGAGATGGTCTCAATACATACAGACTTTTGTTTTATAAAGTTAATATGCTATAACATGCGTCTGGTGGCTTAGTGGCAAGAAGCTGCACTACTATCCCAAAGGCATGTGGTTCAAATTTACCAGCTGCTTTTGTAGGAGAAAGATGGGCAGTCTCTCCCATGGGATCCGCTGCCTCTGAAAACCCAGAGGGTCAGCTGTGAGTCAGTTCCGACTCAGTGACACAGTGACCTTAAAAGAAATGCACTTTAAAGAGATGTATTTAAAAGTATAGCAAACAGCTTTATAAATATTTTTTTTTACATAGTGATGCTTTATTTGAAAAATTTTTCAGCATCTGTATTTCCTTTGTTTAATGAATAGTTTATACCTGAATTCTTAATAGATCCTCTCCTACTCATGTAGGAAATTTTAAAAACTAATGTGGAACAAGACTATTTGGTTATTTATTAAAATACTAATGCCAAGTAAATATTGTATGTTTCTAAAATCCTAAGTTTGCCAATTTAAGTCAAAGCAATTTTCTGTCTTATATTTTCATGTTAAGTTCTGTTTTGTGAAATCCATTTAAATTTTTTTACTCAATTATGAGAATTAAAGCTCTCTGAAAATACTTGAACTGTAAACTTAATTAGGTTTTAAATCCTATTTTAAAAGGTGTAGTAAAAAATTACTAGAATTTAGCTATCTCTAGAAGTTGATAATGAAAAAATATTAAAGCAAGCCAAATTAAACTTATCATTTAATAATTTATAAAGTTAATAAATTAGAACCAAATTCATATTCCTTTATCAAAGGAAAAATTCTGTTCCTGTTTGGGTAAACCTTAGTGCTTGTACTAAACAACAAAATTTCAATTTTATGTTTTCTTTGTATTAAGACAACACTCCTCGACTTGGATGCTTTGGCAAGACATTTGGCAGACTGTATTCGAAGGTAAAATTTGATGTGACTGTGTTTTATTGTTGAGGAAAGTCTTAGTTATGTGAACCCTCCTGCCTTACTTCTGTCTTCGGTTTTTTTGTAGCAGGGAGATCCTGGATCATCAGGATGGTAATGTAGAAGATGATGGGCTTACAGGATTGTTAAGACTGGCAACAAGTGTCATTAAACACAAACCACCTTTTAAATTTTCAAGAGAAGGACAGGTAGGTCTAAAAATAACCAAGCATCTGTAAGAAAGGTGGCTGTACTGTATGTGAATATACTAAAAATATTCATAAGCATATAATTTCTAGAATACCTTTATTGCGTATTGAAAGTCAACTTTATATAAGTTGAATCCTGAAATAAAAATCTTGGGCTTTGTTTTGAAAAGGCAGACAACTTCTAAATCCTGTGATTGTAAATGAAACAGAAATCTCTAATTGATAATGTGATTTCTGTTGGAGTAACTGTTTTAAAAGAAGGTCTTAGAGAGGAGCAAATTGTCATTACAAAGTACTTGTCTTTCTCTTCTCCAATTTGTTTTTGGTGTGTTTGGTTTTTTGTTTTTAACATGACTGCAAGTTTACAAAACAAATTTTTTCATTTGTAATCTTCTGAGTTTTATGCTTCAGCCATTAATTGCTGATTTGAAAGACTTGATGAACGTCAAAATGTTTATTGAATCTTTGAAACAGCTGACGGCAGATGCTGTCTTCCTCTTAGCAGTGTGTGTTGTTGGCGATCGTGTTGGTGCCTGAGCAAACCCATCCCACTTCTGTCAAGTTGAGTTTGACATCAGGTTTTTCAGACTCGAACTCTTTCCCCACCCACCCTGGTTAGAAGTCTTACGGGAAGATTTTCTCCCACAGAATAGCTAAGTGATTGCAAACAGCCCCACTCCGCATTTAGCAGCTACATGTGCTTAATCATACATTGTCAGTACATTTAAAAAAATGAATATATAATAAAGGTATGAGCTTAAGTCTTTACTGACATTTGTCATGTTATAGTTGTAGGAAAAGTTACTGCTAGGAAATAACTTTGTGTACTTAGTTAACTTTTTTTCCTACTGCTGCTCCCTGCGAGAATGTTTTCTCCACAACCCCTTTTACTTCCATAAGACATTTTTCTGTTGCTTTAGTTTTATTTTTTTGGTTATTGGTGAAAATTTTCCAAACCCCCTTTTTCCCTAATCTGTCTAAAACGACATTCTTTATTGGACTCAGGTTGTACATGCTTTTTCCAAGAGTCTTATTTTATTCTGTGAGTCACATTATTAAGGCCAATTTCTCTTATTCATAAATAACTATTCTATGCAAATTTTTTGAACCCTTTTGAAGTGACATATTCTAATGAAAAGTCATTTTCTTGAAATTGAAAGTGAGACACTTAGGAAGTGAATTGGCTTGAGGCGGTATGAACTTTGTGATTGATTGTGTAATTACTGTGCTAGCTTATCTGTACAGATAGGAGAAGACTGGCGGCTCTTTCCAAGATTTTGCTTTTTCTCTCTACACACATGTCCCTTTTAAGGCCTCTGTGTTTCTGGTATAAACCCTGCTTTCCTGTCCCTTCCTGCTTTCTGGACTCTTATCTCTGGGTGGACGCAGCCCCTATGGGTCTTTTGTAGTCAGTGATGCCCAGGTGTGTGGTCCCTGCAGGGCTACTGATCTCCTTACACAAGCTGAGTCATGGCAGTGGTTTCTGTCTCCGGTGGTGCATAAGGACCTTCACCTAAATAGCCTTGAGGGTTTCACCAGTTTCTCTCAGAGAACAGTGAGCCTAGTGTGGCTTCTGTACTCTTGTTTCCTCTCTCTGCTTTTAGATATGTTCTTCTTGTTTCGTTTTTGGTTGATTGAAACCTCCAGTTGTGCTTAGATGGCTCATGTGAAGAAACAGCCATCGTGTACTTCACGGGCCTGCACAGCATGATTTTAGTGAACTGGCAGGCAAGTTGACAACCTTATGGTCCAGAAAACTTGTGTTAGAATGTGTTCGCTGTGCCTTGTTTGTGTTTTTGGTAAATACATGTGCCTACACCCAAATATTTCTGTTTGCACATACTTACAGATGTAAGGCGTTCAGGAGCGCTGGTAGCATTGCTGGCCAAGTGTTGGGCTGCTGACTGAAAGTCTTCTCCTGTTGAGAATTTTGTTGTTTGGTGCCACCAAGTCAAGTGTGATCCTGTGTATGACACATCTGAACCCTGTCCTACAATTTCTGACACTCTAGAACATTGCAAGTCAGTGTGTCAGTCCATCTGGTTGAGGGTTGTCGTCGTCTCTGCTTTTGCTCCACCTTCCCAAGCATGATGGTATAGCCTCTCCTAGGTAAGAGACACAGGCTTAGGGATTCACTGTAGGTTCACGATGAGTTGACCTCAGCCTCAGCACGAGTGGCTCTAAATACAGCTCTATGTTTTCACCAGTGTACACACCTACTAGTCCTTTACCAAATGCCTTAAATCCATCCGTATACTCAAATACCTCTTGTTACTACTTTGGTTGTGCTGTGCTCATATCCACAAATTGGTACAGCTTTCCCATCACTGAAAATAACAAATTTGTCTTCTACTTCTTGATAAATACTTTATTTTTAATACTTGTTTTTGGTTTACTACAAAACATTATTTGTTTTTATATGATTAATTTTACTGAATATCACATGCTCCAGGTCCATCTGTGTTAAGTTTCATGGACTCCTCATTGTTCTTTGTTGTTGTGTATCATTCTGCAGTTCGCCTCCCAGTCCTCTGTTGATGGACCATTGTTTCTTTTTAATTGCCACAGTGAACAGAAGTTTGTAGAATCTGTTTGTGTTGTCATTTTTACGTGTTAGGGTACGTAGCAGGGAGTGGAATTGTTGGACCACCAGGTGCTAACTTTGTTTTTGTAGTCATTCGGTGCCGGCGTGTCAAGCTCGGCTCATAGCAAACTTCGGTTCACAGATGCTAAGCCTTGCCAATCCTGAGGAGCGCTCACCAGCTTAAGTCCATTGTTGTAGTTACTCTTAGTCCATCTCTTTGAGACGCTTCCTCTTTGTCCAACCCTCTCCTTTTTTAATCCCCCTGCAGCCCTCTCCTTTTCCAAGCATTGCGTCCCCTTCCAAGAACCGACCCCTCCTGACAAGTGTATATGAGATGATGTCTCTCCATTCTTGCCTTGAAGGACCATGCCAGCCACACTTGTGCAGGCAGATTTCTTTTGTTCCCTTGGCAGTCCACGATGTGTGTGCGTGGCACTTTGGGCCAGCACCATAAATCAAGGGCAGCAATTCTTTCATGGTGTTTTAATAGCTGAGTACAGATTTTTTTTGTGGTCCAACTCACAGTGAATAAGAGTTCTGGTCTCCCCACCTCCTACCCACATCATCATTTGTTGTTATCCCTCCTTGTCCCCCAGCCATTGCCATTTACCTGGAGTAAGTTTGTATTAGTTGTAATATTAATTTGCACCACTTTCTGATCACTAATTTGCTGCTTGGATGTCACCTTTGGTGACAATCCCACCCATGTCTGATGCTTGCTTTTTGGGTTGGGTTTTAGTCTTTATAAGGAATGTCTGAACAATATAAAGTCTTCTGGTACATTGAAGATATTCCAATTTATTTTCTTTTGTTGCATGTGCTTTTGGCACAACATTTAGAAATCTGTTGTTGGAAACTAGATCGGCCATCTGCTGTCCAAAAACGATTCTTCTTATTTCCAGAGTTGCCACTGTTCTGCTACTCAGACAGCTTTTTCACTGTACTGAAACTCAACAACAGAAGTCCATGTGTACGCAGACCCACTTTGTTTTGGCCAGCAGAAAATCTTGGGTAACAGCAGTTGCTGCTGTTAGGTGCACAGCACTCACTGTCAGTTACCATTCCTTGACCCTGTGAATTACAGATTAGAACCCTGTCCCACCCTTACCATCAGTGGGAGTTTCCAGCCCTTGGTCTTGATTGATCTTGTTGGGGGCATCCTCCTCTTTCTCTGACTCTCCACCTGATGTGTTTTCCCTCCTGATTACATGCTCAAAGTGTGTACTTTGGATGCTGCAGTTCCTTCATGACAGTCTTGTTTGTTCTTTGAGCAGGTAATGTGATGTATTCTATGTTCTGCGCCACCACCATGATCAGAGGCATCAGTTCTGTACTCTGTTGATGGCACCTAACAATGTAGCATGGAGGAATTTTCCATCTTCAGTCGTTGAGTGTGTTTATCATGCAAAACTAGTAGATTCTGTCGAGTGATTTGCCTGCATTGACTAAAATGACCATGTTTACTTCCTCTGTCTGGTATTAATGTGATGGATTACATTGATTTTGGAACACAAATAGCACAGTGGTTCTGAGCCGCGACGTTCGTTGAACCCACCAGCTGCTCTGTAGGAGACAGCTTGTGCAAATTCTGTTGCTGTGGAAATGGGCGATTCCATGACTCAGTGTAAATTTGTGGGCATTTCTACTCTATCTTGTAGGCGTGTTGTGAATCAGTTTACTCCAGCCAGTGGTTTTGAGTTGTTTACTTGTATTTTCATTAAATTGATATTTCTAGTGTTTTTTGCATTCTTTTAATAAATCCTACTTGGTCATGGTGTAGGATCCCTTTTATATACTTTTAATAGCATTCAGACTGCAAATACGTTATTTCTATGCAATGGCTGTCCCATGAAATCATGACCCTGAACCTCCAAACCAAGGAACCAAATCCCAGGAGGTGTTTGATTATGTATAAGTGACATTACTACTGTTGGTACTGTGTTACTCTGTTAAATGTGTCTGGGAATATTTCTTATGCCCATAAAGGTATTCTATGTTCTAAGGTAAACACCTGGCTAACTGATGCCAAAAACAAACAATACCAAACTGTCCTCTGTTACAACCAGCTCCATTTGAAGACAGGAATGGAACTGGTTGATAATCCAAGATCTGCCTGTATTGGATTGTTTTCGCTGGTATTTTTAAGATTTCTCCCCACCCACCCTACTGAAATTTTGTTCTGTCATTTTCTTTTAGCCTCTTTCCTCTTTATTGGCATTGGTCTTAAGTTATGGTCATCTTTTTTATTGGCATTGGTATTAGGTTATTGCTTGCCTCTTCAACTGAGCTTCAAATGCCCCCTTCTGTTTCATTTTTTAAAACTTTGATACCAATTTATTAAATACTTGGTAATATTCTTCAGTGAGGCTGTCTGACTTAGATTTTTTTTTACTTGGGAAGATTTGGTCTCTTGTTAGGGCTCTGCTGAGAGTTTGTTTCTTCTTGAGATGATATTGGCAATCATGTGTTTTTCAAGTTTAGTCTGTTTCTTATAAACTGTCTCATTTACTGGCATACAGTTATGTTTTTTCTCCCCTTGTGGCAAAATACATTATTCTTTATGATCCATTTTATATTTATGGGGGCTTTAATGGAGCTCTATTGGCCTACTGAAAGAAGTTGCACTGCAATCCCAAAGGTACACAGTTCGAGGCTACCAGGTGTTCTACCAGAGAAGGATGGCAGTCTCCTCCCATATGATTGACTGTCTCTGAAAACCTGCTGTAGGAACAGCTACAGGTTGGTTCTGACTTGACAGCACACAGCTACAAAACATGTTACTCTCTGTGATCCATTTTCTATTTCTAGGATCCATACAAATGTCCCAAATTTGCTTTCTAATTTTACTTGTTAGTATCTTCTCTCTCCTTGGCCATTCTAGCCAGCTGATGTCAGTCTCATTTATCTTTTCCATGAACCAGCTTCTAATTTTGTGGATCTTGTTTCGTTTTGTTCTTTTATTTGTGTCTACTCTTATCTTCATTTTCTTCCTTGTATTCTGGTCCTTGAATTTGCTCCACGTTTTCTAGTACTTGGATTATAAAGTTAGGTGTAGGAGATTACAGCTATAAATTTTCCTCTGACAACTGTTTTTGCCGCATCTCTTAAGTGTTACTATGTTTGCTTTCGTTTATATTCAGATATTTTCTAAATTATCTCTCGTGTTATGCCTAGACTCATTACTTGTTTAATGTGTTTTACCTTCATATGTCTGTATTTTCCACTTTTACTTCTTTTTAAATATATTATTAATTAGTGTGATTCTGCTGTGTTTGAAGACAACAAAGCTTTGTATGGTTTCAGTCTTTTTAAAGTTAAATGGGATTTGCTTTGTTTCCAACTTGTGCTGTATCTTGAAGATTCATGAGTGCACTGAAGAATGTGCATTGTGGTGGTGCTGACTGGAGCGCTCCATGTTTGTGGTTTAGTCTTTTGGGTCTGTATCCCTGGTCAGATCCTCTTCTAAAAATTGAATCATCTGTCTAGAGCTTCTGTCATTTACTGGAAATACCTTCCTGAAATCTCTCACTTGCGTTGAAGATCAGAGTTATACTATTTTGGGATGCTTGTTGGATTTAACTTACAGCATTATTATATTGTTTTAATGAATGGACCCTTTTGTCATTACATAATGTCACTCATTGTATCACAATACTAATCTTTGATTTAATATCTGATAATAGCCACTCATATTAATTATTTGTATAGAATATTTTTCTGTCCATTCAGAAATGGGTAACTCTGGAGGACATTATGCTCTCATCGGGGATACAGAAGATTAGGGGATTAATGCATTGACAAAGGTTTTGAAAAAGATAATGCTTTTATGTTAGATGGAGTTCTGTGGGCAGAAAAAGAAGACAAGCACTTAAATTTATAGAAAATTAAGTTCACATCTAGGACTTGGAAAGCTTTGCATAATAGATTGAGTTGTTCCCTTTAGACTGACTTTTGAGAGAAGTATAGCAAATAAGAAGGTCCACTAGCATGGTGTTAGGAAGTTATTGCACAAAATTAAATAGAAGTTCTTTTTTTCATTGATAAAGGAAGCACGTAAATGTTTGATCCTTCGAATAGCATTAAGATTGCGCATTGGCAAAATTTGTTAGCAGATTGGGAACCAGCAGGAAGCAGTGCAGTAGTAGATGTATTCCTAGAAGAATTTTGGGTTAGTGTCCTGATTTTTAAGAATGTGTCACATTTCTCTTTAAGTATAAAACTTTTAAAATTGTTTTTATTGAATGGGGGGGTTTTTTCCTGTGAGATAGACCAAAATGGGTTTACGCATTGATTTTTTTAGTTTGCTCAGATTCACTATTTTTTATAAAATGCTCTTACCTTTTAGCCTTTGAATATCTTTTTGTCAAAGCGTAAGTATCTTGGAGGTACAGGCAATTTATAACTTACGGGATGAGCCTGGCAAAGATGGTTGTTTTGTTTTTGGTTTTTTGGGTTTTTTTTTGTAATTAACAGGCAGTTCAGACATTGTGTTTGAAAGAATTAGACTTTATTTCCCCACCCAGATACTATGTTTTTATGGTTCTCTGAGTTCTGGGATGGCATGGTATCAGCTCACCATCCATCTGGTCACGCATGTGGACTTTTTGCCCATCTTCCCTTTGCTGAGTCGTCATTGACAACAGGAAGGTGAAAGAGGTGCACCATCAATGGAAAGAGTTCAAATTAGCATTTTCTTTTTTTCTTTGCCTGTCTCAGGGATTCCCAGTGGACCCGAATTAGGTGACTGCCTAAAAGGACTCACATAGTTTAACATAACTCATGTTCAGAAGTCAGTCTTAGTCCTTAAAAAAAATTCCGTAAAGGAAAGGCGCATTGGGCCAAGTCCAGAGTAAGCCAGGCGTACTCTGGTTCCCTTGTGGTGGAGTTGGTGTGGATGCACGTTGATCCTCCAGCAGAGACTGTGACCCATTGGAAGGGTTGTCCACTGGGGAACCTCACATGAGCCTAGGCATCCAGGGTTTCTATCTGGATGTGAGTCACACCTGCATGACTTGACTTTGGTCACAAAAATTCTTGACTTCAGAAGCAAAACTGGGTTAAACTCCATTGTTTCCAAAAGTGGTAGAGTGCTATAAACTAATATTATTTTTTCTTTTTTTTTTTAAGAGAGAGTGTGTGTACACACATGTACACTGTCAAATCAGATCTGACTGGTACAGGAGGAGATTGTCCCTCTTTCTCCAGCAGAGCCTCTGGTGGATTCGAACCGTACACCTCTGGGATTGCAGTGCAGCTTCCTGCCACACCAGAGCTTGCCTATTTTTGCACTTTTTGTATTAGTGAAATGTTTACTACTTGTTTCCAAATGACAGCAAGGGTCAGCTTTGCAAGTAAACACATGTAAGGATTGTGATCCCAGACCTACTGTGTTAACAGTTGCTCCCACACAGTATAAGAAGTTTCACAGTCACAGCCATATTTGGGATGGATGAGAGAAATCCTGTTCTTTAATAAAAGCTGCATAGATCCAGTTAGGAAAGAGCAGATGGGGGAAATGCCCCAACAGTCGTTTTTTTGGGGGGAGATGCAATTTATGAAAGACACATTGACAGTGAAGGACTGGAAATCTTGAGACATTTTCAGACTCTGTGATAAACCTTGCACCTGAGTTTAAACTTGACTTGTCCAGAGATTGTGTACTTGGAGTCTTTGATTTTGCCACTGGCACCTACTAAGTGTGTAACTCTGGGGAGATATCTTACCCACAGCAACTTTGGGCTGGGGCCTTAGGCCATTGCCTGGTACTTCATAAGTTCTCATGGGCAAGCTCCTCCTCCTATTATTGCTAGGAAGTTACAAGGAGAGATTGCGGTAAATGGGAATGCACCAATTAATACATGAATAATGAAGTCCTAACAAAATTTGGGTCACTTAATGCATTTTGGTTTAGATGCAGAAGTTATAAAGTATCAGCAGGCAAGAGTAAAAGATGAGCCTCACCATCGTAACTTCATTAAGACTTTCAGATGTGTGGTTCCCATTAAATTTTCAATCTTTTCATCAACCACAGGTGTTAGGGAATCCAGTTTGTTCTGTATAAATGAATTGTGATGTTTGAAATTAAATATACAGGCATTTTGTAGCTTGCTCTTCATTGTGCTTTAATTTTTCTCTTTGTAGGAGTTTTTGAGAGATATCTTCAATTTACTGTTCTTGCTGCCCAGTCTTAAAGATCGACTGCAGCCAAAGTGCAAGTCTCATTCCTCGCGAGCTGCTGCCTACGACCTGTTGGTGGAGATGGTCAAAGGCTCGGTGGAGAACTACAGGCTGATCCACAACTGGGTCATGGCCCAGCACATGCAGTGTGAGCATCCGCCCTTCTCTCACTTCTGTCAGTTGTGTGCACAGAAAAGAAAGGCAGTGTTGGAAATCACTAATACAGAAAAACGGCATACTTCATATATTTTAGCATTATTTACTACTTTGTTTTAATGTTCAGAAAGCTAAAAAGGGGGGCAGAGACAGTGTGTGTGTGTGTGTGTGTGTGTGTGTAGCAGAAATACCTTTATACACTTTTATCTGTAGTGGTTTAGCATTTTTGTTAGGTTCTGTCTACTTGAGTCCGATTTATGTGAATCTGAACCCTGGCTTGACCTCAACCCCACCTTATATTGTACTGTTAGTGGCAAATAAATTGAGTTTTGATAATCCTTCAGATGTTTAGAGTGTAATAGTGGTTTAGTTTGTGTGCTTACGTATTTAGAAAAAAGTTTGTGTATACACACATTTTATGTGGAGCTCTGATAGCTTAGTGGTAAGGAGTTGTACTGTGAATCTAGTGCCAACTCCGTTCGAATCCACCAGCTGCTCCTCCAGAGAAGAACAGGCAGTCTTCTCCTGAGCAACTTACTGACTTAGAAAACCGCTGGAGGGTCAGCTGTGAATCAATTCTGAGTCTATAGTACAACATCATTTATGACTGTTAGCTAGATGAGGTAAGGTGCATTGGTAAAGCAAACAACTTGATGATTAACTGTTTGGGGGGGCGTGTGTGCCCCCTCTTTTGTCAGCAGCTCATGCACCTTACAAATGGGACTACTGGCCCCACGAGGACGTTCGTGCTGAGTGCAGGTTTGTGGGCCTGACGAATCTGGGAGCCACTTGTTACTTGGCTTCTACTATTCAGCAACTTTACATGATTCCTGAAGCAAGACAGGCTGTCTTCACTGCTAAGGTACACACCTTGTCCTCGCTTTTAAGTTAACCTGTAAAACCAAACGTTTCATTTCTTAAGGGTTTTTTGATGATCTGGGAATATTTTTAAAAAATTTTACTTGAATAAAGGTTTAGAGAGCATGTTAAAAAACAAATGTTTTCATTTTCGTTTGCATCTTGATTTTTTTTTTAATTTAGTGTTTATTAAGAAATGCATTAGGAGGTGGAATTAAGATCTAAAGTTGGCTTGCAAATGGAGAGATCACCTGTGTTTTAATTGTTTTCACATTTTAACAAATTGCTCCTAACACCATCGTTGAGCTGTCAAAGGAAAACAGTTATGCATTACACATATTTGTAGATCCTCTTGCCTTTTCTGTTAAAAGGCATATAAATTGTAATTACACAGAAAATAAAGCCTAAGACAAAAGTAGAGAACTTCACAAGAGTCCACAATTAAGGTTGCATAGTGGAATGTACTTGGGGCGGGGATATTGTGTACCAGGGAGGAAGTTTTACTTTTCAAAGAGAGGAGCAAATTGGGGGGGGGGGGTGGAATAGAGAACTTGCCAGAATCACAAAGCATGTTTCGTTATACTTCTGAATAAGAGCATATTGTCCTGTTCGGTTTATTCTCTGCTCCATATTTTTGCTTGCTTTCTGTTTTTCATTCTTTTCTGTAATAGGGGATTTTTAGTCTGCCATCTATCTCTGCTTTTATTTTTTTTATTTTTCTTTTCTGTAACAAAATCACTTCACTCCAAAGTACTTTCATGGGAACTATGTTTGAGATAAATTTCAGGGTCTCCCATTAATATTTTATTTTACTGTGTCGAATCATTGGATTTAGATATGTGGATCTTTTGGTTTATAATCTTCGTAGACTTCACTTGAAAGAAGAATTAATAGCACAAGAGAATGTGATCTTTAAGCTGCTTATAACCTGCCTGTATAGTTTGTATTGTTTTATAAAACCTGTTTTCACCAGAGACAATTGTTTTCAGGGGTTTTCTTTTTTGTGGTTACCTTCCCATATTCTTGGTATTTTTTTCTTCTTCACCTTAATGGCCATCTTTGAGCTATGATCACTGGCAGAAACTAGAAGCCGATTGTGCTGCTAACTAAAAGGTTAGCAGTTCAAAACCACTAGCTGCTCTGAGGAAGCAATACAAGATATCACCTCCCATAAAGATTTATAGCCATGCAAATTTTAAACAGTACATACATATCTCAAATTTATATTTAATTAGAAATTACAGTTAGTAAAAATAAAGACCTTTTTCCTTTTCTGACACGTAAAACCTTATTCTCGCTAGTGGAAAGAAAAATTCTAGGCTTTTTTTTTTTTTTTTTTAATAACCACAAGTCATTGATGCCAAGGCAGTTCTCACCTTGCGTGATGTGTCTGAGGCTGTGAACTGTAACTTGAGGAAGCAGTGCAGCTCCCTGCAGACCCTGCCACAGAGCCCCTTCAGAGCTGGGTACCTGTTCTGCATCATTAATACCTGTACCGAGACACTGTTGTCTGAACAGACCAAGGAACACATAGTTTAAAATCAGGAAAGGTGTGCCTCAGGCTTACATCCTTTTTCCACACCTTTTTAGTCTGTACGTAGAGCAGGAGTGGCATCCACTTCCTTAATTTTTAATGTTTAATGTTCTAATTTTACACAAAAACTAGAATGTTATTTTTTTGTCTTCATAGAGCTCATATTAGGAAAACAACTATTTCTGTACAAAAATGTCTAATTTATTCTCCCTGTGATTTAATGAAAAATTTTCGCCTGATTTTCAGTATTCAGAAGATATGAAACACAAGACCACACTTCTGGAGCTTCAGAAAATGTTCACATATTTAATGGTATGTCTGAAAATTGACTGAAAAACTAAAGGTGTCATGTGACAGTAACTTTAAAATTACATACTGCCCATTTATAGTGTTTGTCTTGATTGTTCTCCAAAATTAATTTGTTGTTTACCTCTCTTTATTCTAGTGACTTTTCTATCGCATCTCAGTCATCTGCATTTTATTAACTAGTCATTTGAAGACTTCATTGTATCCAGTTCTTTTTCCATCACAAGATTTTCCCGTTTGGTGCCTAAATCTTTGATTATAATTTGTACCTCTCATTTCCTGTTCCCTCAACTAGAAAAGTAACCAGTCTTAAAGACATTAAATACTTTTCTACTTCAGATTCTGCATTGGAAATAGAATGGTACTCGGTTGTTCATCCGAGTGGCTAATTCATTCCTGCAACCTGTACTTCCTTTCCATATTCAGCTTCACTCTGTGGTAACCCCGAGCCCTTTGAAGCCCACGCTCCTATTGCCTCTTCATCTGTGAAATTATTTCTGCTGCCCCTCACCTCAAACACTGCCTTTCAGGGCTCTCCATTTTCTTCTACCACCTCGCAGAGGGATTTTGGGTTTCATCTGCTTTAAGAGAACACAGCTAACAGCAAACACTCTGCCTCACCAGTACGACTTTGTTGTTCCTCTCCCTTGGATCTGTTATTGTCTCACTCACTGACTATTGAGGACAAGGACTGCGTCGTACTTGCTTCCTATTTTTCAACTTTCAACATTTAATAAACATCTAATAACTGATCTTTTTTTTAATAAAAATCCAGAGATTTCCTATTTATTCCTTTATGTTAAAAAATGTATCTTCTTGACAGAGTTGAATTGTGTCATGTTAGGTGAAAACAGTATTTTAAAAGAAAGTTCAATCTATAGTAAAACTTCACTTAGCCCACAGTTTTAATAATTCATTTCACATAAAGGTCTGAGCCATTTCTAGAATTTCTTAGAAATTTTTGTTTACTTTCCAGGAAAGTGAATGCAAAGCCTACAATCCTAGACCTTTCTGTAAAACATACACCATGGATAAGCAGCCACTGAACACCGGGGAGCAGAAAGACATGACTGAGTTTTTTACTGATCTGATCACTAAAATTGAAGAAATGTCTCCAGAATTGGTTAGTATCTGACATGAGTATTTGGGGTGGGCGGGGGTATGTGTGTGTTGTGATAGTTTTGGGTTTTTTTCATTTGTATTCATTTGCCCATATTTTAACTACTACATTTTGTTTTATTTTAAAGAAAAACACAGTCAAAAGTTTGTTTGGAGGTGTAATAACAAACAATGTTGTTTCCTTGGTAAGTATTCAGTCAGTTCCTTGCTCTGTTGGCACATTGTATGTTTTAGCTTGTTATTACAATGTCACTGATTGTTTACTGTTTGTTATTCAGGACTGTGAGCATGTCAGTCAGACTGCAGAAGAGTTCTACACAGTCAGGTGCCAGGTGGCTGATATGAAGAACATTTATGTAAGTAATTTTGTATACAACATTTAAGCCTTCTTTTTATTTTTTTGTAACTATTTGCAGGTTTGTTTTAGTATCTTGAGAGTTAACTTTTGCCTTGTTTTTAACTCAGTTTCCTGTTTACATGTTTAGACAGACCACAAAACTAATTTTTAGCTAAAAATTTAAATACATAGCCTCTTTTTTCTCACTTTTACTTTTATATTGAGTTGTATACTTTATGTATTATTCGTGTACATTGCCGTTTCACACATTCCTACATTCACATTGTGTTTCCACATCACTCATATACATTGTGTTTTATAAAATTAGAATTGATCTTTGCTCACTATTAACCCTTTCTTTTCAGGTCCCTGTTAGATCTTTTCCTAATTCCATTACCACCCCCCTACCATCCTTAAACACCAAACTCTGGTAGCTTAGTGATTTCTTCCCCTTTCCACCCTCTGCACCCTTGTTCCCTCCACTTCACCTTTTGGACTTTTATCCACATCTTACTAGTAATCTTTCTACTTTTACAATAATGGTCTTAAGCAGTATTTTTCCTAATGAGACTGGGTTAGTTCACTCAGCATAATGCTCTCTAGACTCTCCCATGTTATATAGTATTTTTAAAATCCAGAACCTTTCAAATAATATTCTCAAAATCAGTATGAAGCGACTCTGGTAGTATATATCAAGTAGGATGTCTGGCTGAAAGGCCTGTGCTTTGAGTCTTAACGCCTGCTTGCTCTGAGGGAAAAAGATGCCCTCCTCCAGTGAAAATTTACCACGTCTGAAACACAGTGGGGGAGGACTAGATCACAAGATACTTGCTGCCAGTGGGGTTTGGGTTTTGTTAGTATGAGAAAAGGGTGTTTGGTTTTTTTGTGTGTGTGGTTTGTTTTGGGTTTTTTAAAAGGCAAATTAAGAATTCATTTTGTTACAATAAATTGCTTTTTCACTGCATAGTCTTCATAATTTTTTGCTTGTGTGCTTTTAGCGCTAATATGAAACCTTCAAATATTTTGTGCACAGGAATCTCTTGATGAAGTTACCATTAAAGACACTTTAGAAGGTGACAACATGTATACTTGCTCTCATTGTGGAAAGAAAGTACGAGCTGAGAAGAGGTATGCTTTTTAAAAACATCATTTTACTCTTGATAAATTACCAGATGCAAGTGGAAGATAATGTGGAGATAAAGGAAGTTTAAATTTTAATGAAATTAGTGCTGATAAAACCCAAAGATGAGCCCATCTCTGGTGAGGTGAGTCCACCAGTGGTTCCTTGGAGAAAGATGGCCAGTATTCTCCTGAGGAATTCACAGCCCCTTGACGACTTGTTGGAGGGATGGCTCTAAGTTGGTTCCAGCTCACTAGTAGTGAGCGTAAGAAATTGAGGCCTGGTGATGAAGGGCACATCGGCTCTTTGCAGCTCAGTTATTTAGTGAAGTGCAGTTGATGTTTGTGTAATTGGTGCTAGGAACTGTGAGTCCCCTACAGAAAGTCTAGTTTTAGGGACAGAAAGAGTTAGAGGGATAGTTTCCGTCATTACCTGTATTACTCTTGGATGTCTGGTTTTAGTAATGTCATTACATGATAATAGCAAACCTTCTCCTGATCCTCTTTGGCACGTGGAGCTCTGTGACTGGACTCAATCCACATAACAGCTCTTTACAAAAGGTACTCGTCTTAGAAGACAGTTACACTAACCGCTAGATGGTTTTTAGATGCCCCCGAGTCAGTCTGTAATGACACTGTCGTTGTTGGAACTCTGTCCAGTGCTGCACCATCTTCATAATCTCCACTGTGCTGAAGTCGGTTGTGGCTGTGATTGCATTTTCCAGCTGGTGAGGGCTGTCTCGTTTCAGTGATACTGTATTTCTTAGTTCTGTGCTCGTTCTTCTCCCAGCTGCTCTTTAAGTAGATGCCCGTCGTAGTTGATTTTACAGTTGAAAGAAACGTTAACACTGTTGTTTCCTTGATAATAGGCAGTACAAATATGTGATTTTCAGGACGGTTCTTTATCGAACTGAAGTTACCTCAGAACCAGCTATTAGCTTCTATTAGCTAGTAGCATCTGGCTATTCCATGTGGAGCTTGCAAAGAAGCTGGTGTGGAGTCAGACTTTGCAGTTAACTGTTGAATTTAAAAGTACTGAATCTGAAAGTACTGAAACAGTTAAGCATTCAACTAGTAGCTAAAAAGCTGGTGCACCCAGGAGGCACATTGAAAGACAAATCTGATTTTTAAAATTCAGTCTTGAAAACCCTGTACGTCACTATGTAATACACACATGGCTTCACCTTCAGTGGAAATCACTGCCAGCAACATTCTAGATACTTGTATTTGTTCTTTTTCTCCTTTCTCTGGTATGTGTATTAATGTTATTTCTCACTTTCTGATAATGGTGGCTTTATTTTATTTTTTTTAAATAATATTTTTTTTTATTGGGAAAAACATATTGGGGGTACAAGGAGGTGAGGGTTGGGGGTAGAAGGGTGAGGATGGGCCAGGATGCAGCTGCAGAGCTGCACAGTTTGATCGGTGGGGGGAGCAGGTGAAGGAAATGATGAGGGTCCAGTGGGGACCAGATGCTACAGAGGAATGACAAGCATTTTCCAATAGTAATTAAACCAACTGTCTTATTGATTTGGGAATTGGATGCCGACTCTCTGGCTTCTTCATGCTGAACAGGGGCGTAGATATAAAGGGGGGGAAGGGAGGACAGTTTATCACCTTACTGGTGGTCTTGGGTTACAGCTGCTTGCCTTCTTGCTCCTGAGGGCCGCGACGGTTCGCCCCGAGACGGGCCAGGCGCAGCCCTCCCCGGGCAGAAGGCCACGACGGCTCGCCCCGGGCAGAAGGCCACGACGGCTCGCCCCGAGCCGGGGGCCGAGGGCAGCCCCCCCGGGCAGAGGGCCGCGACGGCTCGCTCCAACCTGGGGGCCGAGGGCAGCCTGCCCCGGGCAGAGGGCCGCGACGGCTTGCCCCAGGCAGAGGGCCGAGGGCAGCCTGCCCCGGGCAGAGGGCCGCAACGGTAATGGTGGTTTTATTGTGTACATGGGTCACAATTTTTTCCATTGATCTCAAATTTTTAGTCAATGTCTTGAATAATCAGCTATGTTCACATGAAAGTAGCTTTATTAATAAATGCCGTATGGTTCACAATTCTTTTATGATTTCCTTTCATTTACAGGTTTGTTGGGGTTTGAGTCTTTTAATCTCTGTAGTACTTGTTCTTTTCTCAAGGAATATCCTTTCCAAAATATTTTTAAAAGAATGAAGATGTTTCCAGTTTTTTTAAAAATACCTCTCCATTTTTCTGGGGGCTTTTCCTCTCCTTTTAATTAATTCAGCGTGTACTGATGTCTTTCTAATTCCTTTGTGCTGTGCTCTGTCAGGTATGATAGAATGTACTCATGAACTAAGAAAACTTTGCTCGGTATCTCAGTGTGAAGAGCTTTTTCATGAGAGCAAAGATGTTTATGACAGGAGATAGATGATTGTTCTAGAAGTGAACCTTTAACGAATATAATTAGAATTTAAAGAGCAAATTGTGCAGTTAAGGTACAGAAATAAAAATGATCATCTAAGTACAAGGAATTGGAGATGAGGGGGCAGTCTTCATGAAATAGATTTCATGTCAAATACTTTAACAGTAAAGAAAAGCAGTATTTGATCTAATTGTGCCTGATTGAAACCCACGTTAGTGGATTATCTTTCTGATTTACTGAGTGAAGCTACTAAAACACCTGTCTGAGAAAGAGCAGAGCAGTTGCAATAAATGAGACCCCTGTCCACTTGCACATGCAGAACCTATAGAAAGAAAGTGTTGAGAATCAGGATGTAGTGATAAAACCAGAAACTGGGGTAAAAATTGAAGGAGGGAAAAGGATTGGATCTTTCCAGGAGGTAACTTGGCGGTGTGTTTGGGCAGAGTTGACAGTGTGACACTGCCAACAAGGGCGCTTTTGAATTTCCCATGGTTCAGATCCACCAGCTCGTCCACAGTACAAGGACGGAGGGTCGGAGAGCCACGTCGGGGTCGCCGAGAGCTTGAGGGTCTATTTGATTTTTGTCAGTTTGCAGTACCGTCAGCTGGCATCATATGTACAGCATCATACAGACTTTTGGCAATAAAAACAATGACAAAGATGGAAGCTGGAAAGAGTGTTGGAATTAAGCAAAGGAGTTTTTAACTTGAAGGTCTGAGCATGTTGAAAGAGAATTAAACTGCAATCCAGTGGAAAGGAGTTGCACTGTCAATCCAAGGGTGCTTGGTTCGAATCCACCAGCTCCTCCGTGGGAGAAAGATGAGCAGTCTCCTGCTGTGCAGTTTCCTGCCTCTGCAAACCTGAAGGGTCAACTGAGTTGGCTCTGACTGAATGACACCCAACAACAGCATACAATGAATGAAATATTTCAGATAATGGAATCGAAGAGGAATGATCGTGTTTTTCAGGTAGATTTCCATAGAGCAAAGTTGTTGATGACAAATTCAGATAATTAGAGAATACCCCTTGCAGGTTAACTAGACAGAATGATGTTTGAAGTTGAGTTAAAAGAACTTACTCGGAATGGAGATAGTGAGAAGCACTCACGTTGAAGTCTAGAGTGAGGGAACAGTGAAAGATCATTCAGAGTCTCTGTAGACGCTCTAATAAACATACTGAGAAATTTGTTCTTGATCATTCCCTGTTTCATGAAACCTTCCGTTCTGGCTGATTTGATGCTCCTGTTTTGCTGAGACATCTGTCTCGTCTCCCAGGTGACATAACAATACACTCCCTCGTGCTCTTGCGGTACTTAATCGCCTAGTGAGTGTTCAGCCAGTATTGGCTCATTGATGACAAGCACATGAGCGCTGTGTTTGACAGGATCCTCAGCTGGTCCAGTCTTCCCACGTGCTTTCATTGCCACTCTCCCTTTGGTTTTTACTGGCATGCTGATGATTGTGTCTTGTATCCTCATTCTGCCAGCCCACGGTCTTTCCATTTGCTTCTTAAGCACATAAGCTTTGAACAGTGAATAAGGAAGACTGCAAAAGAATGAAGAACTTTGAACTGTGATGTTGGCCAAGAATCTGTCTTGGAAAAAGTGCAGCCAGAAGGTTCCTCAGAAGCAAGGACAGTGAGACTTTGTCACGTACATGGGGCATGGTATCAGAAGAGGCCAGTCCGTGGAGCAGGACCCCATGTTTTAACAGGATACCTTGAGCGAGGTGGATTCAGGTGGCGGCTCAAAGGATAAGCGCTGCAGAGACAGGACGGCCAAGGTTCTGTTGTATGTGGGAGTAGTACAAGTAGAAGTCAACTCAAGGCACTTGCCAGTGACCTCCTGTGTCAGCAAATGTTCCACTACTCGCAAGCCTTCTGCTTACCCTGGACAGCTTAACGATAGTGCTTACACGTGGACATCTCATCGAGGGATCATCATTGCAGTTCTGTCTGCTTCTGTGGCCTCACCATTTTCCAGTGCCCCATTGTTGACAGTCAACAGTTTCTCATTTCCACCACTTGGCTCCCTCGGCTGCTTTCCCTCCTCCCTTTTCTTCCTGAATTCCTAAAACCCAAGCTGTTGGCTTCAGCACACACCCCTGTGAATTTTTTATACACATTGGTGAATTCCCCCTTTAACTATCCCAGTTCTAACCCCCCTCCAGCCAAACTCGGCTTTTCTACCTTCAGAGTCGCACTCAGTCCAGCCTCTCACGCGGTCTCCTTCCTTTCTTTTCTTGTGAACCCCAGGGAGTCTTTGAGGTCCAGGCTACCTGCCAGCCTCCTACCACCTAAACTGCCCCTCCCATTGGTGCCCAGTCTGCTGTGCGGGCCCAGCCATGCGTCTGAAGCCCTAGCTGTTCACTCTGTGCTTGGTTGTTCCCAAGGGTCCATGGTTGTGGCCTGGGCTGGAGAGATGGGTACCCCTACACTCCCAGAACCCTGGCGTGCCAACTGAGGCCTCCCAGCCCAGGCTGACTGGACAACTGGTGGGGGACTGCCACACAGGGCCCTACCTGACCACAACTCAGCCACTACCACCTTGATCCCACTCTCCCTCCACCTTAAAAAAAAAATTGTAAGCCCATGTTTTTATACATGTTTTAATTGAGGTTTTGTAAACTTGAACTAAGAATCTGTGATGCCCTAAGATAGCAGATAACCAGTTGATTTGCTGCTGCACTTAATGAATATTACCTGTTAATGAGCTTAATGAATATTATCTATTTTCCAGACAGTATCTAAGAAGAAAACATTGTAACTGCTATAATCTGTTTCACAAATTGGGAACTTAGCTCAGAGAAGTCCACTTTCTCAGTAGAATAATATACCTGGTAAATTATATGGCTTCACTTTCTAGATGTAATTCACAAAAGTAGATACTTGGATTGCTTATTTAAGAAGAAAAAACTTCCGGAAAACCAACCTACCCTACCCTGCAGCAGAGACTCCCTTGACCTGGTTGGCCATGTGGCTATTTTCTCGCTGTCTCCGCTCCTTTGGCATGGATTCTTAAAGTATTTACCATAGTCTATGGTAGTTCCCTTTTTCTTTTCTTTTTTTAACACAAAAACTCTTTACTGTGGAATATGGAAATAGGTGCAGTGTAAATACAGATGAAATTATTAGAGTGTTTTGAGAAGAGAACTTTATAACAAAATACTGTAATATTTTGTATTTTAGGGCATGTTTTAAGAAGCTGCCTCGTATCTTGAGTTTCAATACTATGCGGTATACGTTTAACATGGTGACGATGATGAAAGAGAAAGTGAACACACACTTCTCCTTCCCCTTACGCTTGGACATGACTCCTTACACCGAAGATTTTCTCATGGGAAAGAGTGACAGGAAAGAAGGTGATTTTTTTTGCTTACATGTGTTTTAAGTCTCCAAGACAAGATAGTCTTATTTACTCTGTTGTGATTGATTAAATATTAACCATAAGAAATTGAAACCTAGAAAGAAAAATGTTTCTAAGGGTAATAAAGTACATTCACCAAATTAGCCAACAAATATTTATAACTATGTACAAAGGGTATATGCTAGGATGGTGTTTGAAGTGTTTTTCAAGGTGTTGTAGACACATAGATGAACAGGGGAAACATTGTCTCTGCTCTCTGTGGAGTTTGTGTAATGAGGAAATCCTGCATTGAACAAAAAAGTGCAAACATGATGTGTTACCACCCTGGACAGTAAATGTATATCACAAGGTTAGAGGAGTCAGGTATGCATGAGAAGGTGGCTTTTAAGCAGAGATATGAAGCAAAGACTGTGTGACCAGATCATGTATTACTTACGTGTATGTCTTCATTCAGAGGACAGCCATTGGCAGGGCTCTGTTTTCATGAAGGTGACATTTTTAGCTGTTGTGTTCCAGAGGTGAGAAAAGTTGTCAGGAGTGACTCTCAGTAGTGACTATGCTATTAAAAGCTTGTGCATGGCTTTATGAGATAGAACTACTGGTCTTTTCTTATCTGGAGCAAAGAGTAGTGAACGAAAGCAAAGACTTCTCAGTTAGTCTGAAAGTTCACAGTAGAAGGTCCTGAAGAGAGTAAGTGAAAAATATAAAACAGGATACAAAATTATTTTAAAAAACAGAACACAGCACTTTTGTGGAGGTTGCTTGAACCTTGACAACTCTGTCACTAAGTCATTCTTCTGACTTGGAACAGAACTTGTTCAGGAGCTCACCTCTCAGTCAGACAGTAGGGTCACATGTGCAGAGTAACCCTCGTGAGGAGCCTTTGTCTCAACAGTCCACATACAGGATCAGAGGAGGCGAGGCACGCGGGTGAGAGGAGGCTGGGAACCCACGGAAGACAGGTGGGAGGAGCGCTGTTACATGGACGACTTGGAAAACGTGTGTAAATTGTTGAATAGGAAACCAATAAGCTTAGTAAGCTTTTACTAAAAACCACAATATAAAATGTTAGAGAAAGAATGAGTTACATTGCTGCCCTCATCGACCAGGTGAGTATTGGGGACATTGCTTTATGAAAAAATGTGGAAGGGAAAAGGTGGTCAGCAGTAGAATACCAAAAAGATGCAACAGTTCTACTAAGAATATACAGAAAATAATAGAACATGCTTTTGGTGGTTTTCATCTGAGCATTTTATTTGGTGTCACAGTAGGTAGGCAGAGAATGGTGAGTCAAAAACAGTGATAGGGAATGGCAAAGGACACACTGACAAAGGAGATTAATCAGAACTGACTTTGACAAGCACTCTGGCATTTGGACAATTAAAAACAGACATTCGGATGGCGGGGGAAGAAGAACAAACTGGGGAGGAGGGTGGAGAGAATGGTGCAGCAATGAAGGAATGAAAACCCAAAATCCCTGTAAATGTTCATTAAAACTAATAAAATTTAATAATAATTAAAAAAAACACAGTACCCTTTTCTAAGCAGATACTCCAGATTGTTGCTTTGTCCTATAGCTAGTAGTTTTCGACCGTCAGTGTGAGCTACAAGCCTTGAGAACTGTGTTTTAATCTTTGTACAATGGCTTAATGTCTTCGTTGGATTGAATGTGAGATGCTATCAACAATGAGGTTACGCTGTGGATGGTTATGTAAAGCGCATACCTGTGAATCCTAGCTAAGATAATGAATGCCTCCCCCCACCCCCAGTTCGCTTTTCTCTTTTTAAGAAAACAAAATTCTTTCATTGTTTTACACACACCACCACCACCACCACCACCCCCCGCCACCCCCCAGTCCACTTTACTATGCAGCTCTTATTCTGGACTCTTATTCATGACAATAATACCTAATCATATATCCCTTTTAAACAGTTCTCTCGATCTGTTTTAATACACTGTACATTATTTATCACCTCTTTTCTTCATTTCCCCCCCAACCTGATGTCAGTTCTGTTTTATAACAATCTGAGCCTTCATTTTAAGGGAATCAGAGCTGATTTCTTTTGTCCTGTTAAACATTTTCTTTTCCCTTTGATTCTAAGAATGTAGATCGTAACTCAGACTTGTTTTAATTTCTAATAGACTGTTCTTTTGAGTTTTCCTTAGTATCTTTACGTTTAGATTTTTATAACTGATTAGGAAGTTTATCTTTCATTTGGTTTTCTATCCTAAGTCTCTACTATGTAATGTTCCTGTCCAGTTGGAAGCATGCTTCCATTATCCTTAACCATGAAAACTAAAAAATCTAGATCTCTTCACACTTTTCATAGCCTGTGTTTACCTGTTCTAACAGTGTAAGAGAATGTTTACATGCATATATTGTACTGAGGTCCATAATTTTGCACTATTATTGTCTATTTTTCAAATAATTTGTATTACACTTTGCTTAGAGGCCATGAATATTGGTTATAGTTATTTTATTTTAATATGTGAAGTATTTATACCTGTTAGTGTGTATAATAATAATATAAAGGGATTCTAAGGTGTTGCCATTTTGTCAATTCTCAGAACTCTTTCCATTCTTGCATGTGTAGGTTTTAAAGAAGTCACTGATCATTCAAAAGAAACGGAGAGCTACGAGTATGACTTGATAGGAGTGACTGTCCACACAGGAACAGCGGATGGCGGCCACTATTACAGCTTCATCAGAGATATTGTAAATCCACATGCTTATAAGAACAATAAATGGTGAGTTGTAAACATTCCATTGCTTGGATTTTTTTTTGTTTTTAATAAAAGTTTTTAAAAATTATGTATAAGCTTATAAGTTTTTCCCTTTGTATTTTCTTTTTAATTTAAAAAAAAATCTCCATCAAATTAAAGAAAAATTTTTAACAAAGGACATTTAAGAGAATAGTGATCAGTTCTTTTAACTTTATGAATCTGTGCACTCTTGAGAAAGTGCCGACTAGATGATCCCGCCAGTAAAATGAAGAGTTTGCGTACAGCACTGCATCCTCCTCGTAAGTTTGTGGAGAACAGTTGCCTGAATTCCTCCTACATGGGCACCACATAGCTTTGTATCTGCCCCTTAGAAGTTACCTACATGATCCACCTTTGTTCCCATACCCCCTCCGTTCTTCCCACTTAAGAACTTTTATCAAGTTAATGGTTCAAAATCAAGGCATGAGTCCCTTAAACAAGTACGATTTTGGTCTTCAGATGTTAAGAATCTTTTATGTGTAGGTACTATATATGTGCCAGGTAAGGTCTCACTACTGAGAAAGTTGCTTTGAACCAAATGTACATTGTTCCATTGATCTGCAGTTACCAAAATAGTTTTTTCCTCTTTCTCATTCCTTTAGCATCATATCAACGAACTTTTAAAAAAAATTTAGCTGATTTTTCAGTAAACATATACTTAATCTTTATTATAAATTCAGAGATTGTCTTTGAAAGTTGACCCTTCTTCTGTCTTTCCTGTCTTATAACTTTACATGCTATGCTTAAGCCGATGTCCTTATTTCTTTATTTTTCTTAACTTTGTTTATCCTAGGTTGGGATTTTCATTTTCTGCTTATTTTACCATGGTTATGACTGTGTTGTAAAGTTAGAGTCCCAGTGGCCAGTGGGTTAGTTTTTAAAACGAAGAACATAGCTTTCCTCATGAAATAATTTAATCCATATATTAAATAGATCAATAATGGAAATATTAAGGGAAAACCAGATCTAATACAGATATACTTAGCAGCTACGTGTTTGAGCAGTACCATCTAAAACATCATCTTTTTTAGGTATCTTTTTAATGATGCTGAAGTAAAGCCTTTTGATTCTGCGCAGCTGGCCTCTGAATGTTTTGGTGGAGAAATGACAGTAAGTTTTATCCAGAAATTATTGGTGTTTGTAATTGCCTAAGTTCTTTCAAATTATAAAATCCAATAGCAGATGGCAATGTACATGTAACCACTGAAAAAGTTTAGTATAACAAAGCTAAGTGTGCTGATCATTAAACATAGATGCTAACATAAGCATGAAAAACTAAACAAAGATACTCTGAGGTATATACCAGAAGACCTTGAACACAGAAACTCCCCTATACTTGTGCACTGATAGTCATAACAGTATTATTTACGATAGCCCAGAGATGGAAACAGCTCAAGTGTCCATCAACAGATGAATAAAATGTGGCATTTACAGGCAGTGTAAACATTACAGAAGAATCCATTTTTAATATGTACTTACAATATGGATGAACCTTGAAAACATGCTAAACTAAATAAGCCAAACATAGTAAGACAGATCTGTATGATCTGTTATAAATCAGACACATTTTTGACACAGGAAGTAGATTAGAGATTTTCAGAGAACAGAGATGGAGGCAGATAGGCACTGAGTTTCTGTTTGGGATTGTAACAGAGTTTGGGAAACACATGTTAAAGATGTTTCCTCAGCAGTTGTGAATGTAATTGATGCCACTGACTTGTGCACCTAGAATGGCTAAAATGGCTTTCAGTTAGGATGTGTTACCACAGTAAAATTTAAAGTCCAAAATCAGTCACTTAAACCTTAAATTAATTTTTTTAACTGTGAATATATTGGAAGTTTACTATGTTCAGAGCATACTAACAGACACTGGAATATACTAAAAAATTGCTGTTCCTGCCAGCAGTCTGATTAAGAACAAATGAGAAGCTAAATAATAGTATAGGAATTTAATTACACGGCCATGAAATAATATGATTCAATGGATTGCTTACTCTGAAACTGACATGGAATCAGAAATGGGGAGGAAAAAAATACTTTGATCCCTCCTTACTAATTCAGTCTGGAAGTCTGATGGAGGAGAGTTGGATTGAGCCAAAGGATTTTTTTTAAAAAAAACAACAACCACCCTGCTTATGTTCTTTATAACAGCAGCAACAGCATGGATATTACTGTTTTTAACTAGTTGGTGGTTGTTGAGTACTGTCAGGTATTCACAGCCCACAGCTGACCCTCCACAGGTTTTCATAAGCAGTTAATTGCAGCTGATGGGTTCAAGCCCATGCCTTTGGGATTGCAGCACAGCTTCTTGCCACTATGTCACCAGCTCTTTCTGTTTTTTATAGCAATAACATTTTTAGCTCTTCTGTAATCCACAATATGATTTAAGAAAATTCTGTTGTGGTATTATAATGCTTTCTCTTCTTCATCGGCAATTTACCATTATCAGTTTTCTGAAAATACCCTTTTGATTATGACAAGTTCATGAGTCATTTCCATGAGATAGATAAGCTCAAATAGTTTTTTTTTTGTCTTAATACCCAAACAACTTATCATAGAACATTATACACATTCTGAATTTTACTAAAGTGTTGTTTATTTTATGTTCTTTATTATTCTGAATGGAAAATTGGGTTAACTGCTAACAATTTTTTTATTATTATTATTAAATTTTATTCGTTTTAATGAACATTTACAGGGATTTTGGGTTTTCATTCCTTCATTGCTGCACCATTCTCTCTACCCTCCTCCCCAGTTTGTTCTTCTTCCCCGCCATCCGAATGTCTGTTTTAATTGTCCAATTGCCAGAGTGCTTGTCAAAGTCAGTTCTGATTAATCTCCTTTGTCAGTGTGTCCTTTGCCATTCCCTATCACTCCTCCCTGAGAGAGACTTCACCCTGAGTCATAAGGAAAAGGGGATGGCGTATTCTCTTAGCTACTTCCTGCTGAAAAGGGACGCTGTGGGTTTCAGGGTGAAGATCTTCTCTCACTACTCTAAAGGGCCCCTTTGGCAGTAGGAAACACATAGACTATTATGGAGATTGATTTTGGAATTTAGATGCACTCTTATGAAGATAGGTAGAAGGAAAATTTCACTGTTAAAAAACATCACTAAACCCAGTTGCATCTCTAGATGGTGTTCCTAGGATACTTCCTTTAAAATTAAAAAACAAAAACCAAAACAACCAAAAACCAACAGTCAGAAATTTCTGCCTGTCTTCCTTTCTTACTCCATCACTGTCCAGTGCTGTGTCTGCTTCATGAGATATTTTTCGTTAGCTTTCCTGTTAGATACTACCTAGAGTTCTCGAGAACCACCAATAAGAACTTTCACCTTGCTTAATAAAGAGTAGCCGTTAAGATCTCTCACAGTTACCCCCTAATTCTCTTCCTGTTCCACTCTTCATGACACTGCTGTCATTGTTCCTTGCCCTCTTGTCTTTCATTCTTATTTAAATTTCAAACCTTAACTATCAATTCCCATATACTAATATTTGCTTGACTTTTTCTGATATTTGTGAGTTGCATTATTTAATATGCACACCTTCATTATCCCTTTACTTAATTGGCAAAATTTCTTTAAGCTCTTAGACTTAAATTTTTTTAAAAAATTTCTTTCTGAAGATTGATAGGAACATCAGGATGTAGGTGTGTGCCGTGTATTCTCATAGGGAATGTGTTGAGATCTCTAACGGAGGGTTTTTCAAGTTTTATGAAAAATATTAGTCTATTTATTTGTAGTTTTAAACTTTCTTTTCATTTCTGCTCATGAACCACATTTACAAAAAGTAGACTCAGATCATCTGTTCTCCTTGCCAGGCCCTTCATTTGAGTATTACTTGTTGTTGTAGTTAAATTTTCTTAGTTTTACTGAATTCTCAATTAAAAACTTCAAAAAGTCTCAAGTGGATACATTGGTCAAATTGGTGAATGACACAGAATTTTTCAGAATTTTAATGTTACTTTAAACTGTCCATAGATTCACTATAAAATAGTTGTTAATTAAAATTATAACTAAACAGAGACCTACATCCGTTTTTAAACCAAACTTTTTTTTAACAGACCAAGACTTACGACTCTGTAACAGATAAATTTATGGATTTCTCTTTTGAAAAGGTAAGCATTTCTTATGTAGATGATGTTCATGGTCCCCTCTCCATTTATCATTTTTACAGTTATGCCCTGAAAAATTAAAATACATCTTTTTTTCCCCCCACTTAAAGACACACAGTGCATATATGCTCTTTTACAAACGCATGGAACCAGAGGAAGAAAATGGCAGAGACTACAAATTTGATGTTTCTTCTGAGTTATTAGAGGTACAAATTCATTTGACTTTGGCACCAGTTTAAAAAATCTGTTCATTCTCTGTAGATATAAGTAGGCTTTAATACAATTATGAAGTTTTCTCTGGAGTACATTTAAAAGCTATTTGAAAATATCTGTTAGTGATGGGATCTGACGTTAAAAGGAATGGGAATAAAAGGTGTGGAAAATGATAGCAGCAAAACTAAGAAATGAAAATGCTGGAAAAAAAAACTCGTTACGGGTAATGCTCCACTTCTGGAACTGATTTGCAAGTTTGCAGGTTTTATTTATGATTCATAATAAAAATACATACATCATACATTTGAAAAGGATTAAAAATAGTTATTCTTATATAATAAGAAATAAGCTTTTCATTTGTGATAAGACTTTCCTTGTTTGATATTATAGTAAGTAATAAAGTTGTTTTTTATTATGATTTGAGTAAAATTTTACAGAGCATGTTGATTTGCTATTCAACCATTTATGCGCATTTTGTTAGATTACATTAATTACAATATATGGAATGTGCTCTGTGCTTTCTGCTCCCTTCCTGTGAGTCTCCTTTCCATTAGTCTTACTGTCTGACACTTTATTACTTTCTGGGCTTTTTCCATGAATAACTGCCTCTTTTTTTACCTTATATTCTGAGGCATGTGTTCCACCTTGTATTACTTGTCACCTCATGGCTTTTCTATTGTTTGGCTGAGAGTTGAGCCTTGAGAGTGAGTGTGAACAGCTGAGTCTGACATCTCCTAACTCCAAAAGGGGGAACTACCCCCATCACTAAGATCCACAACACAATCGTCCTTCCCATGAGGTTAGATATATCCTCCCCCACTCCTGCCCCGACTTAACTGAGTACAAAATACGTTGCAGTGATCCCCACAGACTTCATGGATCATTCAGAAATGTGGAGTTAGGTAATTCACATTAACAGCTCAGTTCAGAGAACTTCTCTATAAAAAGCAAGGTACAATCCCTTAGTCTAGACAGCTTCTCATTTAAAAGCCGGACGCCATTGCTGGAACAGGACGCTCTGACCCTGAAGGACATGTGCTACACTTTGCTTCTTCCTCTTCCCTGGTGTTCAGCATCCCACTTTGCTGTGACTACATCTCCTCAGCTTAATGGCAAGGCTAGCCATTCCCCTTGTGCATAGACTAACACATTCTGTATGCATGATGGCTCACACAGCTGTTGATGAGGGAGGCAGGCTGGCCATTGTGTGTGCAGGGCAGGGGCAGAATTGAAGCAGTTGAATCAGATTAAAGACAATGGTCTAGGGAAGCTACTTTTTTTTTTTTTTAATCAACATACCCACTGCATATCAGTGAGTTTTGTCCCCAGTTTGAGGATGACCGAGGGTCATAGTCGTAAGAGTCCACCAGTCATTATTTGATGAGTAAGCCTGGCTCATTTGTTTTGAGTTTTTCTTTTTTTTTTTTTTTTTTT